GCGACATCCCGAGTTGTTAGTTTCGGCCACACGCTTTGCTTGTGCATCTCTTTAGAGGGGAGTGAAAGTTTCAACCCAAAGCTCGTTTCGTCTGAAGCAGAACTCCTGCCAAGTGTCAAGTTTTCTCTGGGCCAAGAAGGTGTGGATGGCATACCACCTGGGATGAATGACTCCCAGTACGACTTCAGCCAGGTGCAGCCGCGCTCTCGGGAAGTCTTCAGTGCCGGTTAGTTAGTTAGTTATTAAGCCACTTCGCAGCTTCGTGGGTTCTGGGAGAACAGGGGCAAAGGCGAGATAACCTTTGGTGAGGAGACATTGCCAGGGCAGGGCATGGCAGTGCACCCTGTGAGGAATTTTAAATTTGCAGTCATCTCAGGACTTGACCTTAGGTTTGGTGCTCTTGAGCGGGTGGCGGGTGGTAAGACGTGTCAGGCCCGCATCCGGCTGCAACCCTGTGCGCCGCCTTATGCGTCCCTGTGTCCGTCACAATCCGTGGCTTTCTTACAGATCTCGCAGATACGATTCCTGCACCAGATGATTCTTTTCTGAGCCTAGGCCTATACAGTGGAAGCCAGAAAGTTGGAACATCATTATCCTCATTCCCTTAAGGCAAGGTAAAGGGAATCCTAGCACTAATCATCCTAAACTCATGTTCCAACTTTCTGGGGTTCACTATAGGTCGTAAACCTTTGTGACCCCAATTGGGCCCATCTTCAGTACCGAGGTCGCACCCTCCTCCCAGCGCATATATGCAGCGAACTGCTGCGGCAGGTGCTGTGAAGTCGTTTGGGGCTCCTGAAGCTGGTGTTACAAAGCCCACCAGCCCCGCCTCTGAAGTCCTGTTCCGACAAATGGTTGATGTTGAAGGTGCCGCAGGAGTCCAAAGCCCTGTACCCCACGGCCTACATGACAGACTGAATCCCTTGCCTCAATAGACAGCTATAAACAGCTGGCTCCTGCCATCAGCGTCAACGCCCTTGAAGCGGCGAGGTTCATGTGACCATGTGATAACAGCACAGCATTTACCCACTCTAGCCGTTTGGTGAGTGATGTACTTTGGGCAAGTGTGCTTGCCGGCTTTACATACCGGCCAGCTTCAAAGCCGCAGGTCTGAGCGAAGTTCATGTAGCTTCGGTGGTAGCGCATCTCCGGCACTGGCATCAAGAATCCAGTCGAAACGACTTGTTTCTTTCGTGGCGAACCTTTGATGGCCAGGCGGCAGAGCATCCGCGATGCCACAGAGTAGAGCGAACGGTGCTGACCTAAGCAGGTTGTCTTCGAGGAGCTTCCGATTTGAGTCTTCCGCAATGTCTCATACTAGATGTTTGGAGTCTCATGATCGTCAACACCCCTAGTTGTTTCGAGAGGCACCCCCACCCCTCCCCCGCATACTCGCTGCTATCGCTGCTTGCTACGAGGGGCAAAAATTTTTGGCCAGAGCTTTCTTTCCTTGCGAGTTCGGCTGTAGATGATCCTGCACGGAGTGTTCAGCACATGAGCGTGTGCCTTGCTGATTCAATGCCGTTGTCTCGTCCCGTTCCCATCCCACGGGTGTTTCGAGCTCGGTAGTATCAAGGGCAAGCACAAGGTCTTGCATGTAGCATACTGAGCCTTTGCCCTTGGGGCTTAGGGCTTGGTTTGGGCCGTTATTGGATGTAAGTTAGGGTGTTCCAGAACTTCAGGGGCTAGCAGCGACTTTGACCGTGGCCGCTATCGAGCTCAGTCACTTGGTTTCTGACCGTACGTGACAGCTTACCAGCTGTCTCTGCTCCGCTCCTCGTGGTCCGTCTGTAGTTTGGTTTCTTCGGGTTCCAGGTTCTCCCCCCTAGAGGAAGCTGTGTGAGAAGGGAGGCTGTGCGTGCCGGTGTGCAGTTGGTTCACAACCTTTGTGAACACGCTGCTGCCGCGTAGCGTTGTTGAGATCTTGATTCTGAAGTCTTAGCTTTGCTCTTGTTCTCCGGTGTTCGGAACACGCAAGCTGATAGGCTTAATCATTGCTCTCCCACTTCTCGAGTACGTGGTTGCTGGGGCACGTTGAAAGCGCGGCTTGGTTACAGATGCGTCGTGCAAGGGTTGGGGCATCTTCGGGGTCGAGATGGTGCGTGGATGGCACGTGCGGACTGTGTGGTTTCTGGTTGTGTCACTGCGCATCTGCCTTTCCGTGTGTGTCGCTCTCGCTCTCGCTCTCGCTCTCGCTCTCGCTCTCTCTCTCTCTCTCTCTCCCTCTTTCTGCCCCTCTCGCTCTCTCTCTCTCTCTCTCTCTCTCCCTCTCTCTCTTGTGCGTGTCTGTACATGCTTGTTAGCGCTGGTCGCGGTCGTAAAGCAAGAGGAATTTAGAACAGCACTCTCGCGGGCACTCGGGCCCTCTTTGAGAAGCAGGCTTCGGTCGCAACACGGAGACGGCGCGTCCAATGACCTCCAACCGGGCGGTCAGGGCCTCTGTGTCATGCGGGTTTGGGGATGTTTGGGATAGGGGCGGCTCCAGATTTACAGGTTATGATTTCCGCCTGTCAGCTTGCAGAGGGCACGGTGAATTAAGGTTTAGAGCGTTCTTGTGGGTGTCTGTGGAAATTTTATTTTTCTCAGTCTCAAATCTTTGCAAATCGTGGCAAGTGGACGACCAATTGATGTGCACACTGGTTTGGGTTGTCGGGTTTGGGGCTGACATGGGCTGATAGTGAGCTCCCTGAGTCCTGCAGGCTGGTTACACTGCTGCCGGCAAAGCAGGAGGTGGCAAGGCCTGTTCCAAGCCCGACCTCCACACGCTGTTCTCCTGATGCCTTTTTTGTCGGATGCTTGAGGGCTCGCCGGACGTTTTTCGGGTATCGGATATCGGATTCAAGGCCAGGGCACAGGCCCTGGGTTCGGCTAAGTGCTAAGTGGCAGCAGGTGGGGGGTGTCTTGAAATACTTGTTATTCTCCCAAACGTTAGAGCTTTCTACCAGCGCTGCATGTTCTTTCGCAGGTGTTCGACCCTCTAAATCAGGGGGACAAGGGCACAGCCAAACCGCTGGAAAAGAAGCTGGACACTTAGTGGTGGCATGTGCTGGATTCGGACAAGTCCGGGAGTTCTTGTGTTTCGGTTTTCTTTCGCTCAGTGCCGGGGACTGGACAGACGATGAGGCCCTCAATGCCTTCGCTCAGTTTTGATGGCAAACCCAGATATCGGATCTTGACCTGCCTTGTTCGCTTGTGGGATTGTCTTTAATGTTGAAGGAACTCTTAAGGAATATCTCTTGGAATTATCATCATCTATTCGATTCATCTTAAGGGCTTTGGAACCCAGAAGGCTTTCAACAAGGGTTTGACGTGGGCTCAAGGTTATGAAGGCCTTTTGGGGGTTCAAACAAGGGTCGAGGTTTTCGAGTTGGGGGTTTAGGGTTTGGTCGGATATGAGCAGGCAGTGTGTCCTATCCGCAGTTTGTGGCACAACATTGCGTAACGATAGATCACTCTTCGGGTCGGCGATGGTTCCAGGTCTCCTAGTTTGCAATGCGTTTATCCTGTCGCACCATGCCGAAAGCCACACGAGACGGGCGCTGATGTTCAGGTTTCGCAAAGACTTCGCCGAGCCCGAACTCGCCAGAATAAACCCTGGACAGCAGCCCTGTCGATGCTTTTGAAGATCCGAAACCACACAAACTCGCAGAGGGACTACCGACCAGCTCATTCGAAGCATCCTGAAAATCTCATGCCAAACTCTGAGGACAGAGCTGTCTCCGGAGGAAAAGCTCCGGGAAATGGAGAAAGAAATCCATAGGCTGGTTGTTTTGCTTGAAATCTGCAGCGAAGCCTTACACTGCCGGCCTTTCGTGTTTCAGCTTCTGCACACGTTTACGCAATGTGGTCCCCTGGATCGCGAAGACGCTGTTGGTCTTGAACTTTTCAGACTCATTACTCCAGAAGCGACGTCCGCGACAACGGCTGAGACGCAGGTTGGTCGAAGAGAGCGCGATAACCCGAGAACGTGGGAATCTGCCTTGTTCTCAGCTTTGGTCCTGTTTCTAGGATTTTGTATGGGCTGCAGGAGTGTCGGAGAGATCATCAGCGGTCCGCCACAGGGTTCGGCAGTATGGGTGGCTCAAGGTAGGCGCAGTGGCACTATGTGATCCCAGCATGGCGGTCCAAGGGCAAAGGGCGGAGAAACAACGCCTGAATGTGTTTTGTGAGTTTGTTTTTAGTCTGCACCGGGCCACCGGGCCCACATATAGCCACTGATGCTTGCAACCGACCTGCCCGAAGATCCGAAGATTTGTCGGGCCTCTGCACCAAGAGTGCCTACTCAGGCGCGAAGCATTAGAGAAAGGAAAAGAGGCCGGCAAAAAGGCCAGTTGAGATCCCGCGGTCATGACGTAGTTGAGCGGGTTTCGCACAACAGGGTGCTGAGTTCACCGCTTCTGGTGTTGTGAGGGTGCGTGTAGGGGTTGCGCTCGAGTCTCAAGGTTTGTTTGCCTGGATCCCTCACAAGTCAAGCTACAGCTGTCCGACAGCCTGCAACCTGCAGCATTTGCACCCGACCGGCCGGCCCAAGACACTTGCTTGGGGAGTAACTATTGAGGTTCAGTTCATGATATTCAGAGGTTGGAAGGTACTGATGCTACTGACGTTGGTCCTGCATCCGCCCACTTTCCTCCTTGCAGAAGCCCGGCCTGGACCGCCTGAGCCCCGAAGGAGAGGCAACTTTGTAGATTGCGCGAGCAGCAAAACTTGCTGGATCAGCTCAACGCCGCGGCCTCTGAATCGGGGTGCCGACGAAGGAGAGATGGCAGGCGTTGATCATGCAACAAATATTAAAGCCAGCAAGTTCCAAAGTTCATGACCCTTGCGGGACCCTGCTTTCTGCTGGCTTGCGAAGAACATCACTCCAACGACCCAGTGCGAATAAGTACACAGCTTTTTCGTGCTGCAAGGGAGCCATCTGTTTGGCATGTATGTGTTTACTGCTTGGTTGGCAAAGGGCCTGAGGCTAGTTGGGCTTGCGAGTTTTGTGCAATCTTGCCATGTTTATTCAGCGGACAGCTGCAGCTGCCTTGACCATGAGGAGGGTCTTCGGTTTCGCACAGGACCCCTTCCGTTCACGAATCTTGACCTCTGTCTCGAATCCCCTGCGGCCCCTTGGCCCAAGCACCCGGCCGCAAAACAGGGCTCACAGTCTCAGGTGGACCTCACCTATGCCGTTTGCCTGAACCTGGCCATCCAGCACCAGGCGAACGACAACGACAACGAGGCAAGGGATTCTTGAAGGTTTCATGTTGGCAGCCTCTGCCCGGAACTTCTCGAACCTCGCTCAAGTCGACAAGCGCTGGTTCACATTGATACCGGGCACCCTGCTTCTCACGAGCCCGAGTCTTAAAGGTCTGGCTTTTGCATGTTCTCTCAATGCTGCAGCTCTCCATCTTTCCCGACAGAGGAGACCATACACGGTCGAATGAGGGGGCAGACAAATCACTGTGGTGTTGATTGGCGGAGTGGCGCTTTAGAACACGATGCACCAGAGCTTCCTAAAAACCCCGGACCCGGGAGTTACAGAGATCTAAATACCTAAACTGTCTAAGAATCTAAAGCCTAATGGCCCAGAACCCACAGCTCGCAGGCTCTGAACCCATGGCCCCCGAAAGACTTTTCAAACGGCGGCTCGGCTTCAGGCGCTGACGATCTACACACAGATCGTCAAGAACAAGCAGTATCCGTTCAGCGGCCGATTCCGTGTGAACATGGGCAACATCTACTTCAAGCAGGAGAAGTGGACAGCTGCAATCAAGATGTGGCAGCCTTAGCATGCTTCGGGTTGTCGGTGGTGAGAGAGAGTTGGGATTTAGGGTTTATCGACCCCCTGTAGGAGTTTGCACCATGTGTGTGTGTGGCATGCCACTGCGTGACCTGTGCAGCTCCGGGTGTTGGAAGAGAGCCAACTCAAACACAACCACACGACTGCGAGTAGCGTCGGCGTCGTTGTGCTCGCAGCCTTGAGTTTCGTTTGCAAGCTTGTTGAGCAGGGCACTGACATCAAGTGCAACTCCTTCAGAATTTTCATGCTACAGGCAAGCTGACACAGCCGCCCTCCCACCCACCGGCCTGACGCTGTGCATTCATATGATGGCACAGCACCTTGTATGATACCTCCTACTTCTGAATACCTTCCGCGGGTACCCGCGCACGTGAACTTGAGGGAGGGAGAAGGCGAGTACGATCGGAAACATCCGAACCTCAAGTGTAATATACTGGGTTGTTCGAAGTCTGAGAAGCAATGCTTTACGTAGGTTCCTGGGATTGGGTCCAGGTGGTCGCCGCATCACGCATCAGCGAGTAAAAGGTTACAGGAATGGAGACAGCTCTCCTAAAATCCTGACCAATAAGTACGAAACCTCTATCCTGAGCTTCAGGTCAGGGAACCTGACTTGACACACTGAGCACACTTTTGTCCTGCTGCAAGATATCTTCGGGTCATGTAGTCTGGAATCTCTCCGCAAGATGTTCCCTCGTTAGATTCTTGGACCGGACAAGTTGGTCGGCGTTCAAGCCCTCGACCAGGGCAAGAAAGCCAAGCCGCCAAGCGCAAGCATTGGCAGCTGCTGCCAAGGTACCGGATGGCTCTAGACCAGATCCCGAACAACGTCCAGGCCACCCAGAGCAAGAGCGACGCAGAGACTTGAACCGCAGAGCGATAGCAGATCAGATCAATACAACTCACAAGTCACAAGGACTGAAGCCCAGAGTAAATGGGTGAATGAGTGAGGAGCGGAGTTACTGTCAGCTTCAAAGTCGCAGATGTTACACCAGACCCGCGCTTTTGGATCTGCGAATGCTCAGCCGGAGTCAGCCGACTTCACAGTTTTCTACTAGTAGAAAAAGTAGTGTGACATGGTGACATGGAAGGAAGTCGGCACCTCCGGAACAGCACAGGCTTAGTTTGCCCTTTCAGGACTTGGAGTCTATTCCAGAAAAGGTTGCAACCAGTGTCGATGAAATCGGCGCACAGAACCAGGCGAGAGATCGTTGGAACTACGATTGACGGCAATGAGCCGATGGTTGTGGAGTCTTTTCGTGCTTGGGGTTCGGAGACTACAACTGTCTGCCGTCAGGCCATTCGCTTCAAGATCATGCGAAACATCGGTCGGGCACTCAGCCCCGGAACGGAAGCGAAAGAGAGTCTCGTAGCCAGGGCTTGCTCGGGAGTCCCGAGCTCTTCTCGGATGTGTTGCCATTCTGCAACTTCATATTAACTGTACTCGTACAAAAAACTGCCCGCCATCCCATGGATGCATGCATCGGAGTTTTTCCGGTGGCAACTCAGTGCAAGCCGTTGTTCAACCTTGAAGCCTGGAGCAAGATGAAGCTGTAGGCTCCAATCTGAGGCCATGCCTTTTTCAAGATGCACCAGTTTCCGGACGCCATCGACTCGCCAGCCCCTCAATTCACCCACGCGATGAGCAGCCAGGACAAGGCATTCCAAGCAACAGAAATCAAAAATGGTTGGGGCGCTTAACACTAACCCACCGTCTGCACCCCGAGCTCCACCACCGTTCTCGTTGTCAAGATGAATTTCCAAAGTCGACGGGTGGCGGTTTGCTGGCGTTTGAAGGGAATGTCCTGACTGATTCACAGCTCTTGAAACCAGACGAATCCTAATTGAGTTCTTGCCTAGACAACATCTGATGCCCATGCGCCAGATGAGAGTTTCAATCCCTTAGTTCACGTACCCTGAATGTGTTGACATGTTGGTCCTTGGCGCTCGGTCTGTGTGCACAGAGCCTGTCCAGGTATGAGAACCTGTTGATGCACGGTGCGCAGCACCTGGATTTCATGACGGGTGCAGGGCCCAGAGAATAGCTGCAGTTTTCGTCTTCGAGGGTGTCCCGCTCAGATCTTCCTTCATTTGTGCCGAAGCAGATCCGAGGGCTTAGGGTTTGCAGGTATTGGGATTTGGGGTTTAGGTGCCCCATGATCTGATGCGTGGTTCTCTAGACACGGCCGCCGATCCGGTGCACATTACCGTACAAATGATCCGATCAGTGGGTCAGACTTCGGGGCTTTGTCTCAGGCTTGGTGATGAAGGTTGCGAATATAAGTTTCTTGGATCAAGGGCTTGGGCGAACTGGCGCTTTTCTTCATTCCGTCCCGTTAGCCAAAAAGGGGCTCACCAATGTCTTGCCTTGAGCTTGAGGTTTGAGCTTCGAAATGGGGATTTTTGAGAAGTAGATTTTGCTTTGATGGAGAAGGCCTGGAAGCCGTGACGAGTCTGGTGAACAAAGTTGAAGCAAAGCTGCTTGGCCCTCCCTGCCCCCACCACGGCCGTCAGCTGCCAAAACATGCTGCATCCTAAGCATTTTCGAAACGTGCGCCTCGACAAGAAGAGATACTGAGATACTCCAAATTCTCAGATGCAGAGCCTGTTTGATGGCACATACAGATTAAAGTCGTAGTTGTGAGACAGCAGCCCTTTGGAATGTTAGCTTGAGCGTCCATTGCCCAGGCCGCGTTTAATCGCATGTTCTCCAGGACAGGAACGGCTTTACACTGTTGAAGCGCGGCCTTAAACTTTTCGAAGTTAGGAAAGACTTCGTGGATTTCAAATTGGCATCATGATTTGCCAGATCTTTAGGTCGTCGCAGAACCTTCACATCTCATGTCTGAAGAAGAGGATGGCGATAAGCATCAGGCTCCGTTGGGACCTTGGGGCACAGAGGCCTACTTAGCCAGAAGAAAACAGCCTGTTCACCGCGGTTTCGATGAGCAGCGGGTGAGCAAGAGACAAATCACAATTGAAGATCTAAGGCCCGGGGGCGTGTGCCGTAGGCCAGCGAATCTTTCCTCTCAGATTCCAACCTTGGCCAAAAAATGAACTCATGCTCAAATCTATTGCCTGCGGCATTCTCTTGCAAGGCAGCGTATCTCAGATGGGTTCAGTGGCAACAACAGTAGAAAATCGTTGGGTCTTAGGCTCAAGAAAAGCAAAAAATTATCTGCCAGCGATCTACGTCCTTGTGCCAAATCTGCGGCTTCAGATCAGAACTCGAGGGAACCCGAGTTCCACGTCGACTTCGAGAGCCTGGAGCTCCCTCTCCCTGTTACAAGTAGCTAAGGACTCGAAGCTCTGAAAAAACACGAAGTGCTGTCTTCGTACCCCCTACTCAGGTTTCAACTTGATCCTTTGCTACTACGCGTTAGGCGACAAGGACCGACGATGGCAGAACATGGCCTTGGGGGACCATTTGCGACCAAACTGAGCCCTTTCCATTCACAGGGCTCTGCGCAACCCAGCCTGTGCACACACCGATCGACCCCTTTCAGTTTCAAGACGAAGTCTTTCCAATAGGTGGGACAGACGAGGTTTGCAGCTTGCAGATGCTTTAGGGCAGATTGCGCATGTCAGGTTCGTGTTCTTGGTATGTAAGCTTGGAAGGTGAGCTATCTTAAGATGTCTAGCTCTACGTCAAGTAAACGCAGTCGAGTTCGCGAAAGCGCAAATGGATGAAGCCGCTGCCTCTGCGAAGGACAAGATGAAGAGTGGCTTTCTCAAACTGCCGGGTCCCCAAAATTGAAGCCAGTACGTCTGTCAGAAGTCCTGGGTGCTCTCACAAGAATGAGTTTGTACTTGGAGAATTCGAGTTTGCCATGCTCGTCTGATTTTGGTTGGACCAAATAATGCTCGGCACCCAAGTCTTTCGTATCGAGGATACAGGGGTTGCGAGGAGGACATGCTGCAAGGCTTTCGGCAAGAAGCTTTGTGGAATCCGTTGAGAGAGTGCCTACCCATGTTGCCGGCCCTGATCCTCTGACGGCTTTAGGCTGCAGAGATGCGCAACTTTCAGCTTGCATTTAGAGCTTCACCTTCGCTGCGTTTCGGCTCGGAGCTTCGGACTTGTAGACTTGTAGAGCGGGGCGAAGTCCTCGCAGAGCCGGGGCACCTGGGATGTGGTGGGCGGTTAAGGGCTTCAAACGTTGTCAAGGGTATTCATATGGAAGAAAGGAGGGAAGTGCACCAAGTTTCTGCTTTTGGACTGGAGGGCTTGCGAGTCTTTTCGTTCAAGGCGTTGGAGCTCACACTGATGGCAGAGCTTTCCGGTTTGCATAGGCTTTCGACCTACTACAAGAGAGCCATATAGTGGCCCGGAGTGTGGAGAATGTAGAGACTTTACAGGAGGGAAGAAACCCAAGTGGAGTGCAGTTCGCGATTGGTAGGGCTCGCACCTCCTCACTGAACAAATTCTGTCTATTCATGCATCGCGACCTCAAAAACCACTTCTTTTTGTTCCGAACCCCCAGCCCGTACGTGACATCGGATCACTGATCCTTCAGCCGAGTTCGGAGAGAGGAGTGGAACCGGGCAGCGGCTTTGCCCAAGCCAAACCTATCTCTGCAGCCCAGGCCAAAGCTAAGCTTGTGCCAACGTTGCAGGCCGGGCCGGGCACAGCCGAAGAGCAGCATTGGTTCTGCCTCAAGGTTTCAGCCGTCACAGGCAATTCTAAGGTCGGGAACCCCTTCCTCAACAAATTTTCTGGCCCCGAGCTTTTGCAACACGCCTGACGACATCAGGTTCCCGTCAGTTGTGTCAGTAAATTTGACCGCTTGCCGCTTTCAATCTTTGCTGTAGGATGGGGCAGATCATCTCGGAGATGCCTTGCTGTGCTGGGCAGACGCCGGACGAGGCTCACTCAGTTCAGTGCGGAGATCGCTGGATGGCTTCTCTTGCTTCCGGGGCTTCTGCATCCTTGGCGCTGGTTTGAATTTTTCGAGTTCCTCGCTTCTGCGCTTTTCGGTTTGGCGACTCCTCCCTTTTAGAGTGTCGCGGCCGACATGGCCAGTCCGAAACGCATAAGGATGCTCGGTGTGGGCGAACCGTGCGCGAAGTCAACCGAAAAGTGCGCAAGGTTCCAGCGCAAGAACAAAGGCGACGCGTGTGGGATGCAAGGGAACTTCCGATCCATTTTCACTGCACAGGTGCAGGAAGCACAACGACACAACCTGAGCGCAGAATTGTGCAGACTGCGAGGAGAACTCTGAGCCCCAGCCCGAAAGCTTTTCCAAGCATGTTTGCACATGTCTGCAGTCTCCCGACACCACGGTTTTTGCGCCAGAGCTGTGGCCCGGCTGCACTGTGGAACCCGGCCTGGGCCATTGCTTCCCAAGAGTGTCCATCCCCCATTTCCAGAGCCTGCATACCCAAAAGGCCCCTAAGATGCCGAAGCCCGCAAGACTAAAAGACTCTACGAACCTGAGCATCTATGCCCCAAGCCCAAATCCAACAAAATATCGCCTGAAGAAGCGTCCAAATAATATGTCAACGACAAGCATGCAATCCCTCAGCCTAAAGGCCCCAAGGGTCCAAGGTTCCACTCCAGTCCCCTCAATCCTGATGTGATGGAGCTTCTAGAGCCCCTGTCTTGTCTTCAATGGATTTGGGTTGAGGATTTCGGGATTTGGTGTGTGTGTGTGTGAATCCAAATTTGTCGGCTGTGTCTGGAGCACTCAGATTCTCTTGCGGGTTGGGGGCTGACGGTTTGCAGTCAGTGTAGGCTGTGGCGTACTGTGGCCTCCGGGGATTGGGACCCGCAGTCTACCCACCCCCCACCCCCACTCAGGCAAAGCATGCCGAAGGCAGCAGCCAAGAAGCCGAGCCGCACTGTTCGTTTTGTCTTCGTTAACGACAAGGAGAAAAAGTGTTGTAGAAGGTGGTACCCAGTAGTGGTGGTGGCAATGGATCCAACACTGCCCGAACCGGAGAGGTCGACCTTCGGCCTACGCCTGGCTAAGAACTTCTCTGAGGGCTCCACGAATTGAAAAGGTTGTCCTGAAGTCTGAATCACCTCGTGAGGCTTGAGTGAGGAACAGCAGGATAAAACTGCTAAGGCTTGTTTCAGATTCAGGCTCATATGTCAGACCCCCTGCATAGTGTACAGAAGACAACAAAGCACCTGGCGAACTTGTTCAGACTCAGCACAAGCCGCGCACTCCTAGAAGATAAGTTCGTGGGTGGATAACTCTGGGTCCTCATTCGGAACTCACCCGCAGACCTTGAGTCCTTGACCAGCAGCATTGACCAGCAAGACCCCAAACCTCGAAAACAAGACGCACCGTGACTCGGAACCCCGAAGAATTAACCGTCCTAGGAAGCCTGCACTTCCACGGGGGCAAGAGACCGCAGCTGCCGCCGCTGCCCCTAGTGCCGACGTCGTCTCAAGCGAGGCGGCTGGATCCGGGAGCTCAAGAACTCCCACCATCGCAGTGTTGTGAGAGAGAAGCTGGCTCATGATTTCATGCGGACTGGGGGCTGGTTCAGAACTGAGCCGTCGAAGGTTCGGTTTTTTGAGGGCTCTCTGAAAAAATCCCCCAGCTTTGGTCTCTCCTTCTTCCAGAGTTGTTGTTGTAGGCTTCCCCAAACTTTGCCACCGTGTTGCCTTGTGGAGATCCGACTCTCGGCCTTTGTGGTCGGAAGCCTTAGGACATGAGGAAGTTTGCCGTTTGAGTTGGACAAGGCTTGCATCGAGGGTTTTGTTTCCAGAAGAAAGAACTCAACCTTGATGAATGCAATGCGGGGAACCTGCGAGGCGATGGCACACCTCCTGGCGATGGGCTTTGACGAGGCACGGGGTTGGGATGTTTGGAAACTTCGGTGTTTGAAGAAACTTCTGCACAATGCCGGGAAAGTGCAAGAAGAAACACACTTCTATTGCTACTGGAAACCTGACGCTCTTGACCGCCGGCGCAGAATTCACGCAGAATGCAAATCTCTCGACAGCCGTATAGTCTTGTTGGAAGCCGCAGCTTATCTTAGCCGGCCTTCCAGGAGCCAGCACGAATGGCTTTGATCGACTGTGGCGGCGATGTGGAGCAGGCCGGGCTCCAAGCCCGCATCCTGAAGTTGGGACAGGTAGGCCAAAACTTCAGGCTACTGCTATTCCAATTCCCAAGAAGTTTCGAGCTTCGGCTTCATGTCAGTTTTTAGGCATGCAATGGAGGGCTCCCCGAAAGCCTCATCACACGTGCATTGTCTGGCCCGACACCCAGAGTTTCTACGGCTTGAGCCAAGAGAGAAATCCCGAACCAAAAACACCGATCGTGAGACTACGATGCATTCATTCGAAAGATTTTTGACTGGCGGTGGACTGTTGCGGATCGTAGCACTTTATCAGTGTGGTTTCCGCCGGCACTGTGCATGTTTCGGCAGATGTGGTCTGGTGAGCCAGGGTAGAAGGCAACTTTGGGCATGTGCACAGGAACTGCTCAGACACTGAGAAACTAAACCTTCAACGTCCTCGAAACCCTATGCCTGATCTTCCACATGCTGACACTTCCTGTGTAAGACTGGTCAAACATCATCATTTTAAGTCACTTGCTTGAACCTTTGTTGTGCAAACCTGCTCCAACCGAGGCCGCGCAGATGCTGACCTCCGCTGCGGCCGCAGAGTCGGATCCACGCGTGGAGCAGCCCCCTGGCTGTCGATGCTAGCACCTTCCTAACAAAGAAAGGTGTTAGCCCTCTAGTATGTAGTCAGGGTTGTTAGACGATGTCTACTCCGCACGACCCTTCAGCGTCTCCGATTTTTCTGAAAACATACATTAAAAGCTTCTGGCTTTGGGGTTTGGGGATCATGCCTGACAGTCTGCACTTCCTGCTCTGCCTTAGTTCTACAGAACGCTGCGAGCAGTTAAACGCTCGGCAAAGCTATGGAGGGCGAGAGCTTGACTTCGGGACTTCAGAATCCTCTTTCGAGTCGGTGGAATGCTGTAGGATGTCAGCCCTGTAATGACTGAAACTCGTGTGTGGGCTTTTTTAACTTTAGTGACTTTATGCTTTGAGCAAACTGTCGGGCTTCCTATGTTCGAAGGAGAGTTGGATGACCCCATGAGTCATGAGGAAGCCGAGAGCCCAGTGACTTTCAGGCTGGTGGCCATGGGCTTCAACGAGGAGCTCAGATTTCGCTCGTGCCTAAGTGCCGAAAAGCTTGAGGAAGTCGTCGTTAGAATGGCATTGGAGCGACTCAATGGAGCCACTTCTGGTTGTTGAAGCTGGCTTCCTCATCGTCTTTCGCCACAGGCCTAATTTGCCACCTGTGAGAGAGAAAAAGCATTCCCCCTATCTCGACCTGGTATGGCTCATGCCGTCGTGGCCAAGCAGGGTGCCCATGCGAATGCTGCTCCCACACGTCAAAGGCACTCATCATAGAAAGTAGCAAGTGGATGATTGGATTCAGGCTGAGAAATCAGGCACAGACATTGCTGACACATTTTCGCTCCTATTGTTACAAGCATCTTCCGTTTTGGCAGCAACGGGTAGAAGCATCATTGGATACATTCGCCACTGTCGCATTTCTAGCCATGCGGTGATGGTTTATCTACCGTAGCATTTGCGTACAACAGTCTTACGAAGCTTACAGTGTTTTGTGAAAGGTAAAAGGATAGTTCAGTGAGACGACCGAGAACTCACAAATTCTCGTAAAGTATGGGTGCATGACGGCTTGTCCGTCGGCACAGTACGAGAACTCAGGTTTTCAAACCAATTGGTTTAGAAGCAGTATCAGAATCTACACTAGCACTCGAGAAGCCATCATCGTGCTTTTCATAGTATGGTTTGAGTTTCATGCAGCGTCAGGCTGCATCGTGTCTGCGGTGTATATGGTCCACGATACTTAAAGAAGCTTCCAAAGCCCGAAAGCTCGAACAGATCTCGGACGTGCGATAAAGACTCGAAATTTAACGTTCCGCTCTGGCTCACCATATTTCGCACAGGCTGCACGCACTATCACGTTTCAGGTTGGATCTCTTTCTTCACATGCTGTTTTCCCAAACGACTGCTTTCGTCGAAGCCAAGCGTCGCAGGAGCAAGCCCGTAATGCCCTGGACGGTGCTGGCGGGGATGTGGAGCGAGTCTGGCGCTCGGAAACTGCGCAGCTTCCAGGTTCAGAGAAGACGCCTCTGCTTCGCACAAGCCGGGCTTTCTCACGAGCTCAGGTAGGATCTAGGCTGTCGTTTCATTCGCAAATTAGCTCTTTTGGCCTAAGCCGTGCGCACAACAGTACGCCCTGAGCGGCCCCAGCCTGTTATGAGACATGAATCAGTACCTTCAGCCACGAGCTTCAGAAGTACACGGCGACACCTGGAGGTTTAATAAACCCGAAAGCTGGTGCAGCAAGCGTACTCTGGAAGTTGAACAAAGGTTGGTTTACAAGACAGGCCTACGGGCTGGTGAGCTTGACATGGGGGTGAGGCTCATCTGTAAGAGTGAAACGTGTCGGAGCTTAGTTTTCGGATTCGGAAGCGTGTATGCCGTGTGTGTGGAGGGGGGCAATCCCAAGAGCAACTGAGGCGGCTAATTACCTCATGAGTCAGTGATCTTTCGGCGCTGGGCTGTCTCTGCAGGCGCTGACCTCAACACACTCAGATGAGCTTAGTCTCGTGCTTCGGGTTATGTGGCACAGAGTCGCAGTGGAGACAGTTCATGGAGTGTCGTGCCAGAGATTCCCTCAAAGAACAGCTTGCGTTGATTTGCGAGCATGGCTGAGGCTCGTGGGCGTGTCTGCACCCCGCTCGCGCATGCCGTGAGGTTTGAGCCTGCAAAAATGGCAGGTTCCACGTCTCTGGGGTGTTGAGTCCGGCCTCGCCTCAGGCCGGTCCTCATAACCTGGAGTGTTGAATACATCAACACTGGCATCTTATACTTATACTGTGCGGATAGGCTCCAGACCGGGGGAGGCAATAAACGACGAGAAAATACAGCCGGAACTTGCTTTTGCTGGGGAAGCACGAAACATCTTTTCCAGTCACAGGGGGAATTGTCAATGCTGCTCAGACTTCAAGGCTTGGAATTCTTCATGGGTTGTAACGTTTCAAAATCGGCCGTGATCGAAGTCGAAGTCGCGAGAAATCCCCTGTTAGATGGTTGCGGGCGGACTCCCTGGTTGAAGGTTTCGAGAGTTGAATGTCCACCTACTATTCTTGATTCTAGAAAAGGGGCAGGATTTGCGACAACCCTACACGCTTGTGCAGCCTTGCAATGGCACGTCAATGCGCCTGGATGCCCTGACCATCTTGACTGTTAGAGTATGCATCATCAGGCAGAGCGGGATGGGGTGGGAGAAGCCCCGAGCCTGGAGTATAATATCTGTTGAAAGGAGCAGTTGGAGCTCTATGCGTTTCTATGCATTCTTCTCTAACTACTGGTAGCAAGCCTGGCGTGGGGCGAGCTTAGGCTCCCAAGCATTTCTGGAGACTGTTCTTTTTGGGTGGTCTGTTCTTTTGTGTTTCGAGGCTCAGGGCCAGATGGGGTGTGTACAAAATTTGACACATCTCTCCACTTTTCTTCTTGACGCTTCCGCCGCGAGGAAGGACTGTTAAGGTCGGACGTCACCCTGAAGTACCTTCGCGAGTCCTCTAAAGTTTAACGGGATTTACGCATATCCCTAAACCCTCAAGGGTGGATTGAACGAGGGCAGCCACTGGACAAGGAGTCAGCCACACAACCAGAATGAATCAAGGACACGTTGTTTTCGGCAGGTGCGGCCTGCTTCGATTCAAGTGCCGGAGGGTCACATAACCGTTCAGCCTCCTTGCAGTGTTGGTACGTCTCAGCACACTCCCACTGTCAACTAAAAGCATGTACCGCTTGAAGAAGAAGGAGCACTCTTTTGCTCAGCTCTCCGGTGCTTCGAGCACTGTGCCTGCCCTGGGAGGATCAGAGCTTGCATGTCTCAACCTGTCCTGCAAATCTGTGTGGACCCGGCAACACCTAGGAGGCGTCTTCGGACTCAGCGGTGTTTTGTAACACTTTCGCTGTGGGTAGTGAGCTTGTAGCACTACAGCTCGACAAACCGGGGCTTGAAGATTCTTGAATTTAATGGTATGATCCGGAGAGGTTTTAAATTCGGTAGCGGTGTGACAGCTGTTCGATGCTTGCCGGCAAGTCCGCTAATGTTCAACCCAATCGGGTGCACATCCATGATGCTCCTCTGGCCCCGGACCGTCGCATGGCCAGCCAATCCTCTAAAGCTGAAGGACAAGACTGTCAATCTACCGAGAGTATTGAGATGTTGAAGGCTGTGTCGAGTTGCACGTAAGGGTGTTGAAAGCACATTCTAGTGCGTGGCTATGTGATGCCACCCACTGCAACGGCCGTAGATGCACATAACCAGTTAGCTGTGGGACCGTAGGATAGTCACCGGATTCACCGGATAGTGTAGACTCCCTTCGTGCAGTTGTAGCATCATGCGCAGCAAACCCTGCATCCGAAAGCCAGCTGTCCAGCAGCCCACTATGCCGACAACGGCCCGAATATCCTCGACAAGATACATCCTGCAAACGAGCCTTCGATCCCGAAGTCCCGCTGGTCTCAGTGAAGCGTGGTTGTATTTTCGCTGCGTAGCCTGCGCGAAGCTTTGCGTTGCAAGCAAAGCAACCTGAATCAGATCCAACAGTCGCTTTGGAGGGTTGGTGCGGAGTTTGGCTCGAAGCAGCCTGGCATTCTGACGAAACCCCACGTTCTCCGAGCGAAAAAGGGGTCATGTGGATTCGCGGGTTACATAGTCCGATGCAGGATGTGGCTTTCAGCCTTGGATTCGCCATAGTTCAGACGATCGTCTATATGGTTAGTAGCCGCATGACACATGCTCGTCGGCTCGTTTTTGAGTTTCGATTTGAGAATATGAGTGGCAAGTCCTCATCAGGACAACACCTTGCACTCATGATTCCGTGCACTCATGATTCCTTGTAAGTTTGGGCGCGCACGGAAAGCAAGTTTGTTTTTCAACGTTCCGGCTCCTCTCAGGTATCAGGATAATCCTCAAGGGCTCGCACTGTGGATGGTTGAAACACTTGTGCGAATTAGTGTCCCTGTTTCAACAGGCACCTACTCGGCAAAGCTTCTGGAGAGCCAGCGACTTTTTTTGCTGAAGCTCGTGCCGTAGCATGCCTGAACCCGACGGCCCTGAAGGCATCGCCAACGAACCTACACCTGTCGCGAAGCCTCTATCTGTTTTGCTTGGGAACGCGCCCCGCTTTCCTGGTTGTAAGAGGTTGTGTGGTTTTCAGGTTGAACATCGAGCAAGTCGGCTTGGAAGACTTCGACGAGGAGGAGGAGAGGGGAGCTGCGTGTTTTTGCCATGTTGTGCTGCTCGGAAGCGCCCATTCCCGGCGACGATCCTTCTAGTACTGCTGAGTAGGCATGGGCTTCTCTTCCATGCAACGCCCCTTCCTGGCAGGAAATCGAGCTCGGTCAGACTGAGCAGCAGAAGCAGGACTTCACCTGCTAGGCTGCATGCTCTCCCAAGCTTATCGGAAAACTTTCAGTGCAAGTTGGGATCTGTGCCCGCTCACTGAACTGAGAAGCTGCAGCCCACATTCCCCATGGGGTTCAGCGGTCAGCCTACAGGCTGGCCGCTTTTGAGCTCAGGCCAACTGCCGTGTCACGATAATAGCTGGTCGCGATGCGGCATCGCAGTTGCAAAAGTGGTCTGGTCAGAAGTGGTTTGGGCTGTTGGGTTGTTGGTGCGCGGGAGAAGTGGATACTCTCTTCGACTCACGGGGCGGCTGCACAAAGACTTCCAATTCTGCAAGGTGGCAAGTACTGAAGCCTTGCTTCTTCTCCACAAACACCGAACTTTCTCCGGAGCACCTCCAACCACCAAAAAACTGACTCGAAGCTCTACTGCCGAAGCATCATGTTGTTGCACCGGACGATCTGATCTTAAAGTTTCACCACAGTACTGAAGTCTTCCTGTATGATGAATTCGACACCTGAATTGGTTTCCGAGAGAGCTATAAGATCTGCAAAGAACTGCATGTAGAAGTGAGCAAGACCGTGATCCTAAGGATTTCCCAGGCACCTCAGCATGTATGCGACCTCTTTGGCCAAAGTGCAATCCGGAAGCATACTGAAGAACAGGAGAGCGCCACGCGGAACCTCACCGAGGGCGACGATGCTCTCCGCGAGGCCACAAACGCTGGTTGGTGCTACGCTCGTCATTCCGGTCTACAGGGCCTTGAAGATCGCCGAGGTTCCGAACGTGAAAAGGCTAGGTAGGAGGTGGGAATGTTTTCATGGGTGTGGTGAGCTCCAGGCTCAGCCCAGAACGCGATGGTGCAAGTCTAAAGTGTGAAGCGCAAACAGAGGTAAACAAATGGAAGGAACGACGAACAACCCTTGACAGTTCCAGACTTTTCGCAGGCACCTGAAAGACGTAACTGTTTCAGGCACAAACCAAGTCCTTGTTTCAGACAGGCACCTGAGAGCGTGCTTCTCCCTGAGGTATCGCTCTAACAGCCCCTGCGATCACCCGGCTGAGCAGCCCCGTAGCTAGGACATCAAGCGGCGGCAGCGGGAAGCGGCCCGCTTCATCGTCAACGCTGCTAACCTCATCGCTCCGGCCCGTGGGAGGGGACGGGGAGGGGGAGGCTGGCTTTTCATTGAGATCTTTGTCTGCCGGATATTGAGGACTCAATGCAGGTCCTGTGGTCCTTAGGCCTGTTCGAAGTTACGGGCTCGGGGCTTGGAAAGCTTGCGGGGTTTGGCAGTTCAAAGTTTGCAGGACTGAGAATCTGCGTACAGTGAAATTCCGAAACCTCGGCACCGTTGCGGGGGGCGTGGCGTGTGCAGCAATGTGATTCATGGCCATAGCATGAAGTCCATCAAATCTCACGTCCCCAAAGCAAGACCTTCGGCAGGTCATTGAAAAGTCGGAGGTGGCAGGATTCGACTGGGCAGGATGCTTAGAGATCACTTTGGGGTCTCGATGAAAAGTGTTTGCTAAACGCACCGCCTGTTCTGTGCCTGTTTGTGTGTTGAGGACAAGGTCCCAGTGCCACAGCGAGTGTGAAGTAAGCATTTCCCTCCCGACTACAAATGCTTCAATGCGTGCACCGCGACGACCCCGCGCTTGCCATCTCGCGGGCTATTCCAGATCCTGAATTCCCCCAAACGCAAGCTGAAGTGGCAAGTAGCAGGTTAGCGAGCGGATGTTGTACTTGTCTGGTCTAGGGCACGAGTTGCGGCCAGCTTCTAACCGATCACAACCGCTGCTAAAACCTAGGAGCTTCGAACTTTAAAATAGGCTCGAAGCCAGGGTCTTTGCGACGTCTGAGGTTATCGATTCGCTGAATCACCACGGCTTCCCCCGGATCGGCTCGGAGCTGGAAATCGCGAAGCTGGGGCCCCAGCCGGAGTTGGGGCTTGGAGGGGGGACGCTTGGTCCGCTTGGTTCGGCGTACACGGGGCAGCTGCGAGATGTGGTGCACACAGCGGTTGTTTGTGTCTGTTTGTCTAGGGCCTTATAGCCCTGCCTGATTTCCACTTTGAAGCCAGACTGGGTCGTGCCGTGCTGTGGACGCGATGGACTCTGCGTGCTTCGTGCAATCTTGTATCAGGTCTGGGTTGTTCCGCAGGCTGTTCGAATTAACAGCACTGCCGCTAATCTGATGCCTGACTTGTGCATCTTTGCTGGTGCTTGCTGAAGCTGGCCTCGAGCTGATACCTTTGTGCCTGTTATCAACTGACTGCACCTCCATTTCAAGGCAGCGTTTGAGTGCTCTGTGGCCATAATGGCTGGACTCACCCTTGCCACACAATGCATGCTCACAGTGGCACAGTGGGTTTTTTTGTCCGACGCGAAGATCTTGGGCATACACGCGGCATGTTTTGACAAATAGGACAAGTCTCTTGCTTGCGCTACCATGGACTTGCCACCTACCTCGCCTCAGCGTTCAGCATTGAAGAAAGTTCGAAGGCGAAGTTAAGTTCAGGCGGGTCCCATGTTCAGGACAAGTAGAGGTCGAAACTGGGAGGCCAACGTCAGAGGTGATGTTCAACAGTTGCACGGAGGGAACCTCGTGCCGCGGTTAGAGCTGTCGCCCAACTGATGGTCCCTGGATTTCACGCGATTTGCGAGAGCTTTGCTGATGACGATCTGACACGGCCTTGCAGCTCTCATCCGCCATGATACAATTCTGCCACCCCTCAGAATCCAATGAGCATGTGCTTGCTGACGGGGCCTCGACCATCAGCATCGTTTCAACTGGACGCGGAACGACTTTCACGCGCCTCACTCCCGTCACTGATACTGCTGAGAGCCCTATGTTTATCCTGTGTCCCTCATTTGGAGCTCCTTGTCAAAGACAAGTCTAACCGCGTTTTGTGGAGGCAGCGAACCAGTGCAGATATTCGGAAAATACTCGCACTGGTTTTGAGGCTCGGTGTCCTGACAAGAGCATCGATCAAGACTGTAGTTTCCAGCGATGACCCTGTTGCGGCTCCACTACCCATTTAGACTGGAACTGTAGTGCAAGAGCGGTTGTGGCTTGTTTCGCCTGATTGCGGACTGTTTGGCTTCGAGTCATGATCTTTGATTTTCCGGCCTTGCACGAACGGATGCGACAGGAGTGGAGGCACATGAATACAAGCTACGGCTATGCCAGTCTTTGTAAATGCTCGATGCGTGCATCTCGGAGCCGGCCTGGTTTCGTGCAAGTTTCATGCATGTGTGGGTTCAGGTAAACGCAACTTGATCGTCGCTGGCGGCGGACAAGCGAACTCCAATCCTATTCCTACTGTTTCTTTGCGTTAGTGAATGATTGCGCCATGTTCTGCGCACTGAACGTTCGGAATTGGGAAAGCCGCAGCTCGGAATGTCAATCCCGATGGTCTAGATAGGACTTTGGAGCTGCGAATTTCTCGGGAGATCCGAGCCTTTCGTGCATCCCGCATCGACCGTTGCAGTGGTTCGTCCAGCTGGCTGCATCAGAACCCTACTCCGTCGAATCACGAAGAGCCCCCACATTCCTAACAACATGTGCGCCAGATCTTGCTTCTTCCTTCGGCGGAAAGAATTCGATCAGGCCATCCAGGTGCTTCCGCATAGATCTGGGAATCAGTGCAGGTTACGTAGAGTAATGGAGGGTCGCTCAATGCTTTGCATCGAACCCGCTAAGGAAGGACCTTCCTAAGACCTCAAGATCCAGTCCTCACACGAAATTCCTGAGATGGATGCCCTTTTGTCAATCATCTATACTTGCCTTGCACCTTGAGCCTGAGCCTTGAGCATCTTTTTCGCAAGACCCGATATGCAAACCTGCTGGTGGCATCGCAAAGCATTGCAGGCTTCAATCTCAGGCCCAGGACTACCCATCCGACACGGCACAGTCTGCGTGCTACTTCAATGACATGGTTGGCTTGGAGGGAAGGTCGAGCCCTTTCGAACTTCCAATCATCATTGTAGTGTCAGCTTCAGTTGGCAAACGAAATCAGAATTTGTTTTGAGGGCTCGGGTTAGTTTCCGGATGACGCGGCTTGGGGTCCTTCCGCACTTTGTCACGACACTCTGAAACCTGGTCCAAAGACAACGCGTGCTTCTCGTCAGAAAGCCAAGAGCAACAGCGGGAACGTGACCTGAAAGGGAGATCCGGATCCCGAGCTCGATTTGCATGGGCTGAGATTATCCGGGTTCGGAGTTTGCGGAACTCAAGGGGCTTGGCCGCTGCAGGTGCTGAAGAAGTTCGAGCGGAAGGAGCCCTCTTTGATGGCTTGTGCGGCCACGAACTTGTCAGCATCCCAGCACGTGCGCAACGCTGGCTCACGGGCCACCTTGCGAATGCGCTGTCCGACATCAGGCTCGATTTTGAGGTTGCCGTGCACAAGCCTCCTGACCAACCCCTGAGCAAATCCCGAGCAGGAGCATTGAGCATCTCTCAGTCAGGACAAGTATGAAACATTTAGGCCCCGAGCCATCCGAGGTCCTTCCTGTACTTCTTGGAGGCGGAGCACACGCAAGCAGAGAAGTACGCGGACATTGCAGCTACTGGGACCTTGAAGAGACTGCATGGATGCCTCATGTGTATAGGAAGATCTCATCCCCAAGCACCGACCCCGAATCCTGAACGGTGTCATCCAGTCTCATATTTCGCAGACAATTATCACGATGCGCTAACTCAAGGTGAAGGCAGACCGATACAACGCCGGGCCCTTGTGTGATGGTGCAGAACACGGTTGTGATGTCAGCGAGAGTCCCAAGACTGCCTGGACACGAAATGAGCAGTTCGCGCATCAGCTCAATCACGCATCCACAACCCTTAAGCCAAATTCTGGTTCATGCTCTAGTGCAGGTGGACTCCATGCTAGAGCTCAGGCTGTGTGGTGGAATGCAGGTAGAGGCCCTGCTTCGTAGGGTTTGCATGCCTCAGGCTCGAGCGCTGGTGAACAAGGGCAACTGCAACTGCGGCTGCACATTGGAGGGTGGACAAAAAGCAGTCGGTTCCGTCTTCAAAGTGACATGTTGTTTAGGCCCCGAGCGACTCGTTTGGATTATGCAGCTCACTGCTTCGGTGGACCCATTATCCGCAAGGTGGTAAGCATAACGAGATACTCTTCTAAGCTCGCCATACAACATCCAGGCATTGACGTATGCACACAGGCCTGACATCAGGTTGCAAGTTGCACGGTTCAGAACTCTGTTTTTGCTCGTAGGCTAAGCGGCGCGTTCACGGCATGGTTTCGCGAGCTTTCCATGCTGCATGTCGAGGTTAGGCCCGCTGTTTCTGCTGCAGCCATGTCTGTAACGTAAATAAATATCTGAGCAGTGAGTTTCGAACCCAAGAAACGCCGCACGTGAAATGACTTCCGGTGGCACTGCGGTCTCAGGCATGTTCATGAATGACGAGTTCGAGCGTGCGAAAGAGGTGTATCTTGAAGCGGGAGCCCTGGCACCGTGCCGACTGAAGCCTTTGAGACCGAAACTGCCGCGTACCAAAGACCCATAGCGGACTGCTCGAGGTTGCTCATGAAGGCCCAGACTTGTGGAATTTGCATTGCCCAGCAGATCCCCGATCGGCGGAACATGCAGAAGGAAGTTCAATGCTCCAGAACTCCCACCCCTCTCCCAGGCCATTGGAGTCAGTGCTGACTGCCTAGAGGCGATCTATAATCTCGGCTTGGCAGCACGGCCGCAGCTGAGAGTTTATAGCTATCGCTAGTTTTCAGAAAGTCAGTCAAACAGGGAGGACGGCTAAGATGGCTGACCCAAAACCGCTTTATTCGTCCATCCCCTTCGTGGTTTTAGATGTTCATCCATCGTAGACGGTTGGTCTAGCTGTGATGGTGTTACAATGCTTCCTCGAGGTGAGGTCATAGGGATCCAGATGCTACCTTTGGGGCTTCCGGCGGAGGCTTGGTCTTGCAGTGTGGGTGTCCCTTCTGCGAACTGCCAAATTCCACGATCCGTTCATCTAAGAGACAGTTCAATGAAGGAAGGAACTTCATCTGAAGTTACAGTCTCGGAAGCTTGGGGTTTGAGCCTGAGCATCAGGGCTCCTGGGTGGAGGTACTTGGCTGGCAGGAGCTAAGCAGCTAAGAAGCTCCAGAGTGTGACGCAGGAATTCGAAATTTCTGCTTCCCAACCCTTGAGCTCCCAGCCACACAAGGTCAATATGCACATCGGCAAGTGCGGGACTTGGAACGTTGCTTTGGTGAAGGGTGTAGCCTGTAGACTTCAGAGACTTCAGCCTGCAGAGGAAAAGGCGCAGCGATGGGCTCGTATCTGTTCGAGATGTGAAAGTTCCTTTCTGGCGGAGCCGCAGATTCAGCTTCTGCATCTGCCCATTCAGCCTTCACAAAATTCCGGGTGGCGGAGATCCACAACCTTGAACGAAAGAATCCAAAGGCTACATGAAAGTTCGCAAGGTACCAGGAAGCGCTCTTGGCCTTTGACAAGCTCCACTCTATCACCCACGTGCGCTTCTCAGCCACGGCCTTGCTTGGCCAAGCTCGAGGACTTCTGGACTTAAGAATCCAAGCTTTCCACACAAAGATTCGATCTCTACCCGCTGCTCCCAGCCTCGAACTGTGCTCGCAATGCTGTCCGACTGTCTGATGTCGAGAATTTGCACGGAATGACATGTCGAAAGTTCGGGATTGCACGGATGTCAGATGCTGGTCTCCCGAAGGGTCATGGGTAGTTGTAGTTGTGGCTGTAAGGGCGAAAAGTTTGGCTTCGACAGGAAAAGTCCGTCATCCGTTGGCCTGCAATATCGGAATTCATGAGTGTCGAAGTTGGACCTGAGCACAAAACATGTTTAGCGGCTTTGGGGATGAGGCCTCGGGTCTACGTGAAGCTGCGACATGATGATGCTTCCGAAGCCCCAAGCCATCGATACGCCCTGACACAAGAACCTTACAGTCTAGTCTATCTTTTGAAGTCTATATCTGCGACGCCGAGTCCCGACTTGAACTGCGAAAAAAATTGAATCGGCAACCGCTGAACCCTTACAAGAAGAACCCTGAGCACAAAGCTTAAACCAAATCTAAAAACCGCAGACCCCGAAACGCCACCCTCCAAACCCTTTCTCCTGAACATGGAAGTTGGACCGCAAACACTGCCAGGAGCATGAACACGAAACTAACAGCCCGCAGGTGAATTGCGAAGTGATGTGGCAGCCGTGAGCTAAGCTGAACTGAAAAGTTGCCCCTCACGATTGGGTCCCTGAATGTTTTGACTTTTGAATTCAATCCCGTGAAAAACGGGTTCACTGGTTCATGGAGATGTTGTGGTATTGTCGTAGTCGGAAGATTTTGCTTCAATTTTGAAGTTCAAGCCGCTGAGCTCAAGAAACCAACTCCACAACCCGGGTCCCGAAACGGAGGCAGCCCAAGAGGTGGCAGTGGTCCAAAGAAGCACTACAACCACCTGGAACCCCCAAGCCGTCAGCGTGCAACAATAACCGAGGACCGACTGCTGTACCCTTAAGGCATGGCAGCCTAATTAGAGGAGTCTTGAATGCCTCGCCTTTGCAACGCAGTACCGGAAGACTCATCTTCTTGCCGGATTAACTTACGGTGTGCTCGAGCTTGAACCCTGTTCCAAGACCCATTGGCTTCGGGTTCGGTGACCCGGGTCCCAAGAAGAAAGTGTTGTCCTTGTTTGTGGATTCAAAGCCCCAACTTTTCACCTGGACCTATATAAACTTAAAACCACGACCCTGCCCCTGAAGTCCCAAAGGCTTGGTGACATCCACGAGAAGCTTGGGAATCATGGCAAGGCTCACGAGTGGTTCTCGCTTTTGGCCGCAGCCTTGGGGGCTCAAAAGAAGTCATCGGCTTTGAGCTAGAAGTTTGCTCGGCAAGAGACATTGTGAGTTTCGGATTTGCCCTCTGAATTTAGAGCTTCAGCTTCATGCTTTGAGCGTGTATCCCAGAATGCTTGCATTTGTTCATGGAGGTCCTGCGCGACATTGTTGTTTGTCTCGTTGTTCTCTCGCTCCTCCCCTATCCTTCCTGCTTGTCCTTCATCTCTCTTCTATGCCCGAGAACGTTTCAAGAGAGCGAACGCCGGTGCGCACCTTGTCGCCGATGCTCTCCTCGTGACATCTCCTCTCCCGCGATAAGGCTGCGTAGTGTTTAGGTTTGAACATGGTTCCGATCGAAACTTTCGATCGCAGGTCATATGCAATGGAAGCAGAGAGCGCATGCCTTCGTGTGCGAACTATCTAACATTCGGAGTCTTCGCTATCCAGAACTGGCGACTTGGTGAGGATAAGTTCGTCGTTTCGGAGCCACCGCAGTGACGTTGCATCTAGCCTCGCGCTAGTCAGTGGAGAGATGATGACAATGAAGCCAATGGTGTTTTGGTACCATTGCCATCGCTCTTTTTGCCGGAAAGCTTTGGGCCCGGCGAGTTCGTGACAGTCACTTCATCCCTGCTTTCAGGACAGTTGCACCATCTAGGTTGGGATTTTGTGGCGTGTGAGTGTAACTGTCGTGCGATGGGGGTTCGGGTCAATGACCTTGAACGTCCGCCAAGTCGTCATCGCGATCCGGGCTTCCGAGCCATCTGTGACGGTTATAGCACCCCAGCTCCAAATACAAGTAGTCGATTGTCGACCTTCCTGCTTAATCCTGACAGAACAGATCCTGTGCCCGAGACATTCGACCCTCGAAGACACTTTTCCTTGAGGTCACGTCGCCGAAAGGACGGCCAACAGATCCAGGCCGAGTGCCGCGAAAACTCTCTGCTGTCTCGGAGTCAAGAGAGTTGGGCGGTGGCTGCTCCCAGATGAGGAGAGATGTTCAGTCGTTGAGCCACCAGGTGTTTTGGCACGCCTCGCCAACCTCTTCAATAAAGCGGGAGACGAGACGCAGGCGTTTCACTACCACCTGGAGTCCTACAGGCCAGTTCCTGCCGATCAGTTTCATGTTCAACTCCCGCAGCAGTGCATCCCTGAGGCTCCTCGGAAATCACAAGGGGGTGTAGGATGGTGATTGCAAATGTGGGCCGCAAATGTAAGTTCCATAGTTCCATGATGTTGATCACGCGGACATGTCAAAATTTCAAAACCCCCAGTGCTTAGCGGTGCACGAAAAATGTTGTCAGGAGTTTGAATAACCTCACACTGCGGAGTTTCCGATATCTTGGGCTTATGACAGTCTGAACGTTCGCGGTTCAGCGACGTCGCTCGGCGGTCTTCTCTCCCGATCGATGTTCCGCCGTAGAACCGGAGACGTTATGTGCAGTATCAAGTTCACCAGTCGGGCATGCTTCTCTTATTCGTTGGAGTTAAAGCTTCAAGCTGGAGGGCCTGTGTCACTTCCCGAAACTGACGGGAGCAGGTACTGGCCGGTAGACATGAACGTCATCACCTGGCTCGGCATTTACTATGTCAAGCAGGAGATGCCTGGAGCCCATGCGCTTGCCAAAATGAGACGTTTTTTTGTTGCCTCGTTCGGAGTCCATGGCTTTGGCCTGCCGCGAACCAATAGACTCAGTAGACCACTCGGTTAAGTTCATGTGAGCTCTGCAGTTCCTGATAACACGGTATCGGCTTGACCACATCCCTTACGAAGCCTTGAGCAGCCTCAAAAGAATTTCTCCCCAGCTCGCATGTTCACCGATGGCGAGCCAATCGATGCTGAATCGAAGAAGCGGAGAAGGAAGACAACAAGCGAAGCGGCCACCTCCCACACCCCCTTGTACAGTCAGCGGCATTGGGGCTCCCGTCACCTCATCCCGCGAGGACGACAGAACTGTGAGGAATGTATCCCTGTTGAGCCTGTGCTCGTTGTTTTTTTCGCAAGCCCGAAGTCTTGCATTCTCGGTCCCTCTGAAACGTATATACATTGCATTGAAACCCACGCAGAGTCCGAAGTCGTCTGAGGTACGAGGCGGCGATCCCCTTCTTCTCTAGGGCGTCTCAGATCGAGCCGAACGAGGTCCACTGGGTCAAAAGTTGCTTGATTCCGGCGTGTTATCCATGACCAGCATATCTTGGTGTATGGAAAATAGTTCGGTGTTCAAGGAGGTTGGAGGCTGCAAGAGGTTTTTCCCAGAAGGGACTTTCCAACAGCGAATCTGCTGTTCCGCTGACACTATCCACTGAGAGCCCTGGCTTTGTTTCCCGTCATTCGGAGCCTTGACGTTCAGATACAGGACTGGATACCCACTGGTTTGGATCCCGTAGGCTCTGTTGACTTCCAGACTTACAGAGCATGCCAACTCTGCGGAGAAATCGTTAAAATGGCAGTAACCCTCAGAAGTATGAAGATCCGAAACAAAGTTTCTTCTTCTGTTCGCGCATCTTCTTTCCGCCATGTGCTGCAATGGCCTCACACAATCCCGGCATGTTATCCCGTCCCAAAGCTTGAGCATGCAAGTTATTTGTTCGGCGTGTTACTGCGCACGTCTCGCAAAGAAACACAAGCGGCCTTTGAGGGCCTTTCTTGCAAGATCAGCTGAAACTCAACACCCTGACATTCCCGGCAGGTGAAGTGGAGGCTCATGGTTGCATCTTGCTACCGGCGGATGGGTCCGCCGGCTGCACCAGCATGTGGCTGTTTCGATACCATCTTGGACACTGCCGCAACAGCAAAATGCGCATCATCCCTGATCTTTGCCGATGTTTGATGCCTGTAGAGACAGTAGAGCTTGCGCAATTTCGGCTTCACCTTAGGGCCATTGTAACAGCCTCAACATCTGGCGTCTGTCATCTTGTCTCGAAAAGCTGTTGTGGGCTGGGCCATGAAGCTGCAAGAACTCGTGATCGCTCAGGCCGACAGCGCTTCTAACCCTGACCCCAAGAACCAAGTCTCAGCCCCAAACCCGGACAATTCTCTTGTTCGGGTGGCAGCGATGAGGTGCATACCCAGCTGCCCTGAAGCTCTACGAGGACGAACTTCGTTTTTCAATGGGCTTTGGGAGGCTTAGCTGAAGAGGCATTGGGTGTGGCTTTCCTGAAAGTCTCTTCGTTAGGGATGTCGGGTCCAGGGCTCCCAAGACCTCTCTGTCCACAGCCCGGTGCAAAGTCCAGGCCCGATCATCTTCAGAATTTAGGATTAAGGCCCCATCTTTTTCCTAAGGGGTAAGCTTAGCCTGAGCGGTGATTCGGATCAAGCCCTGCCTACCACCCACCCAATCGAGAAAGGCTCTTGTTTCATGCTTCTGGTGTGTGCAGGATATCCACAGGTCGCACCCGAACGACATCGAGTGCGTCAGATATCTCATAACCATTTGCAAGGTGCGCGGGGCTGTTGTGTGCACTGAGTGAAAGACGGATCGCCGAAACATTCATGTCGACACTCTCAACTTCAAAGCTTCAAAACTCGTGGCTTTAAGCGCTCGGGGATGTCCCGCTCCATGAAAGAAGACAGCTGGAATGCTACCATTTCGCAACTCACCCGCCTCTTACCGTCTGGCGTTCCAAATAAACGCATCTTGCCTCGACTCCGAGTGAGCCATTATCCCAAAGGATTTTTTTCGAAACTCTCAGCTTAAAAGCTTTGCGAACTTGGGGATACTTGCATATCGTTTTCCAGATTCCTTGACACTGCAACATGGGCTAGATTTAAGCTTTCAGCTGCCGAGCGTAACACGTCAGATTATCGCTGATGCTCTCAGGTTTTCCGTTTGCGTTCGAGCTCTTTGTTTTAAGACATTCGGCAAGCTCCATAACACCAAACCCCCCCACCTCAAAGTTGAAGCCGAATCTGAAGGCTATCCTTCCCAACCATGCAATACAGATTCCGATCTGAACACATGGCAGGAGATGAAGCAGAAGTACGTTCCAGCGGCCCGTTTATAAGTCGAGAAGTTTGATGGACGAACTCTGTTTGCTGTGATTAAACCCCGCACATCAAACATACTTGCAGAATACTGTCAATTCCCAGCTATCGTCATATGTCGGACAGGGTGGGTTGCTGTCTAGATCTTTTTGGTCTTTGGTGGGCTGGCCCTGCCTGTTTCGCAAAGCTGCGCAAGTCCGAGCATTAAGTGGGAAGGTTCTTCATAACGATCACATGTTCTGGGCAGCCCCTGTTAGAAGTCTGAGGTTCGATCCCTCACCAGGCCAAGTGATGAAGTATGCTGTCTAAGGCAAAAAAGATGAGTCTGGCAGGTATCGGTATCAGGTACTTGGGACATCCTGTGCAGGGAAGTGCTCGCAAGATTTGGTGGGTCTGGGCCTGCTGTCTGCCAGGACCACTACGCTGCTCACCTTCGAAAACTGGAGAGGTTGCAGGCACGCGGTGGATCCCTGCTGGATCCCTGATCGCTACTGTAGATCCCACAACACGCAGTGAAGCCGCGTGCTTGCGACGCAGACACGAATGCCAAAAGGCAGCGAACGAGCAGCCGGGACGGAACATGGGCACAGTTTCGGCCATCGGACAGGGAGGCCAGGGAAATGCAGAGTGAGTGACTGAGAGCATTCGTCGGCGATTTTGGAGCCGGGGCCTGGGGGTCTCGCATGGTCGGAGCATGGGCCTGGAGGCCTGGAGGCTTTTGCTTGAGATTTTAACAGGCTACACTTGTTAGACGCTGCATATCGGTTGTCACTCTCAACTTCTCAACGAGACCTGACGGATTACGTTCCGAGCCCTCTTACCAAACCCTGGAACTGTCAGCACAAGCGATGCATTCTCACGAAAGCCGCCCCGCAGCCCCTGAGCCCTAGCGGCCGATTCAAAAATCACAAGTACAGGAACAAATCACAAAGCTTTAGCCAGCACAGGCGCCGTTGCAACTCCAAGCCCTGTTGCCCGGTCGAAGCTTCAAGCTCCACGGTGTCTCGGAAACTCGTGTGAGTCTTGGAGAAGTCCCAAGATCGGAACCCTGGAGTCGAAATCGGGCTTCCAAGCACTGCCCTCATTCCTGCGGAGCCGTCAAAGCAGGTCTTGAGGACAGCCCCCGTGGCGATAGCGGCGACATGGGTGGCTTCGGTGGGCGTGGCGCTCGGCCGAGTCCTGGGTGAGAACGGTTTTCTTGAGACAAACCCAGGGGTAGCTTGCAAGCCTTATCGTGCGAAAATTCGTCATGTAGGACAGGAAAGCTTGCTCCCACCTTTCTTGAAGTAGCTGGACAATCAACAGCAAATGCCTGTAGTTGGAGAAAGTTTTCCTGAAACGACAAGGTCTTACAGCAATAAGCAGTTAAAGTGTGGTAGCTGTGTTGATGCCATGTTTGGGTGGGAAGGCCGAAACGAACTTCAAACGTCCGGCATCTGGCAATCGGGATTGCGAAGCTCATGCTGAAGTGATCGGGGGAACTCACGTGGATCTGATTGTGGCTTGATGGTAACTGGTCGGTTCTGCCTGCAACGTCAGAACTTGCTGAATCAACAGGCATGGACTCGTAGACAGGCTAGATCTGCTATGATAGCATCTATTTAATTAAATGCCTGGGAAGCACAGTTCATTTCGACAAGCCTTCCTGCACGAGTCACCTTTCGCCCGCATGCCATGAGCATGCCTGTGTGGAACTCGAGCAGACTCTAGTGCCCAAGCGCGAGCACGCTCGTGCACTCACGGTCGATTGAAACATGTGCCGTGAAGCTGTAGAGGGAGTCCGCTTTCCTGTAGTTCCTGAAACGCTTCATTTGAGCATTTCGGTTCTGCAGGTCTCGAGGCCGCTTCGACCATGACGAGGACAGGGATGCCGGTTGTGGCATTAGTGCGTCTCTGGGTGAGGACCGTGAAGCTTAGCGATTAGCGCCTGAAGCGCTTAGTTGAGACGTCGAGACTTTTTGCTTGCAGTCCACACAGTCAATCCTCCAAGTCGCAAAGTAAACAATCGCCCATGTTGCAGAAAAGTATGCCTTCGGCTGCTTTCGGGGGCAGTTCAGGCATGAAGCAGGGCCTCGCAGCAGGCTTTCGGCGCTATGAGTCACGGAATCTCAAGGATACAGGCACCAAAGGATAAAGGAACCAAGCCAAAGACAAACAAAGACAAAGGATGATCCGCCACCTCCTCCTGAGGCTCCAAGGCCGGACCTCACGGAACAGAGGGGTTTTGGAAGACCGGTTTATTCCCGAATCTTCTAGCGTTTGCAAGAACAAATCCGCACAAAGGACTGAAGCTCACATCCTTCTGGGCTCAGGTTTCGTTGGCTATATTCGGAGATCGGTGTCGTCGGTTTCGAAGAGGGGTTTGCGGGTGAATCTCCGAGCGTAGCTGTGGTGTGATGGTTGTTTGGTTTGATGGCTTTGCAACTCGGGCTTGAGGTTGTTATTCGGGCATCGACGTATTGTTGCATCGTAGGCGTGAGCCATCCTGAGGCATATTGTGCGGGTCATCGACCCTTGCTGGCCAGGCACTGCACCCCAAGCCTCCAAGGCGCCAATCCCGCCCGCAAGTCCTCCTACGAGTCCATGAAGCCCGAAGTCAGCAAGCGCAGGCCACCTGTGGAGCTCTACGAAGCCGAAGCAGATCTGCCAGCCAAAGGCCGTTCTCTCAGAAGTATACCTATCTGTCTATGGTTTGTCATAGCATATCATATGTGATGTTCGAAAAGCTGTACGATCTTGTATAGTATGAGGAAACGATGTAATTTATCTCAGGCATCTCGCAATTCGGACTCCAATGCGCAGATTCGTTGTAGACATTTCGCTGATTTTGGTCTTGCTGCGTGGCTTCGACCTCTGTGCAAAGCCACATCACAAACCATGTTGCAAATGGCTGGTGGTTGTGCACATGGCGCCGGCAACGGCTCTTTCGGGGATCGGCAATCGACGGCCCAGGCTAAAGATCCAAATGGGTTGACTCGTGGTCCAACAGTTGAGCTTCGGCGCAGTAGTGCGGGACGTCCTTTGAAAGGCTCTATGCTACTCGGCTACTCGCTCGGTACAATATGTCAGCTGTGCAGATTTTATCAACCTGGTCACTTAAAGTTGGGACAGTTTAAGATAGCCGCGAAGTGTGGACTCTGGAGTCCCACTCTTCCTCTCCAGAGAGACCCGAGATTTCCGCCCAACCCCAATTCTTAGTGCACCAAACTGACAGTCCCCGCGCGAGTAGGAATCCAGCAAGTCTCCATCAATTCCCATGAACAGCTCTCACGAAAATCCCGTCCCCAGCTGCTCCGAAACGTCGGCTTGCGGCCCCCAAAGCGACCGACGACGATGATGCCAAGACCTAAGAAGTGGTCACCAGGGTTCAGTAGGACTTTCGGGCTTTTCATAGATTTCGGATTTCGTCCAGGTCGAGGGCAGGTGGTTCAATCAGGATGCTTTTGAGGATTCAGGGCCAAGAGCTCGGGAGCTCGAAGGCATCGCACTCACAAGTTGAGGGGGCTCTCTTTTTTTGCACCCTGAAATTGCACAAAATCTGTCTTGACATGCAAGCAGCAGGGTGGAGCTTTTGCAGAATACATGCCGATTGACTTATTCCGATACCTCCTGTTCAACTGCTTCTGTTGTGAGCTTGGGTGTGGAGTGTCCCACTGTTTGTTGCGAAGCCCTGGCGGCTTCAGCATTGAAGGGCTGGGAAGAGGCTGAGGTTTTTTGAGGATTTGTTTCTTCGGCGTTGTTGGGCAGTTGCCGGTGTAAAGGCTCGGCCGGTTAGCACAAGTGCATTGTACTGGTAGTGGCAAACTGAGCGTCTTTCCATGGAAAGATGGAAAGATGCTTTTCGTGTTTCCGTGCTTCTGTGAAAGGGGAGTTTCAAGCAGGTCAGCGCTTCAGCGCTGACTTCCAATCATTGATCTAAGCGCGCCTCCTGAATCCGCAGCCTGAAGCTCCAAGAGGCCGACATCCCGAAGCCAGGACTGGGGCAACGACGACCTCGGAGACGTCCTGCCTCCGATGTGACACCTCCAGGACCTGGTAGAAAAAGCTCCGAGCCAAGTTCGTCGCGTTGCCGCGGGGCTCCTTGCCCTTGATGGCTGCCAGGATGCCGCTTGCAACCCGCCGCGACAGCCACGATGCTGTACAGAAGGCCGGAAGGAAACGACCTTCAAGCAGGTGCACAACGATAGCCGGCAAGAGAGGAAGTCTTCGCTACTCGTACAACCTCGCATGAACGAAAGTCTTTTTCAGACAGGTTCGTGCGCTGCTGCTGCATTCATTCCATGCTGAAAGGGGCGTCTTTAGATGACGGCAGCCTGTGCAGACTGGGATTTGCAGGCTAGGCAGCTCGTTGTGCCCTGATGCGAGCTTGGACCTCCCAAGATCCAAAGCTCGTCCAAAGCTCGTCTAGGCCGTCCTAGGCCGCATAGCACTCCGCAAAAAACCCCTAAGACCCCAAGGTCCGAAGTCGAAAGCAAGATTTCTGCCGTCTTTTCTTCGTGCAAGCCGTGTGCAGATCAGCACCAGCCTGAACTTCATGCATGTTAGTCGAGAAGTTGCCAGGACGTTTTGCCGGATCGCTCCTTCCTTCGAACCTGCAGGAGCCTAGACCAGCCCTTCAAAGCCCGGAAGAGCGCTCAGCGCAGATGTCCTGCAGAGATTTGCTTGTTTCAGACCGAATTCAAAGTTGGACATTGCTCCAGGGCAGTCCCCCCGGTCTCATACACTTCCGATACAGGACCGTGCAACGGCTGTAGCGGCAAAAGCGAAGGGTGAACACTAGCATGATCCTCGGCATCGTCTTCGGCTTGTCAGCGCCGTAGGGAACAGGAGGACTTGCATGCGTACAGAGCTTATCTTGCCAGCCTGCATCGGGAGGTGAATGGGATGCTAACGAGCACATTTGTGGCTGCATCGTACCGTACTCTGTCACCTTGAACGTTTCACCCGGTCGGACAGCTGCCCACAGAAAATTGCTTTCAGAGCGTGAAGCCAAGCAGGCCCATTACTGAAGACTACTGTTCCACTGACTAGCTGCCGTGTTCTTTTGCAGCTTCAGCTTCCCGATGAGGAGTTACCAGAGACCCTAGCCCAATGGTTTGAACCCTGTCCTCGGATCTTGCCACCGAGAGAGTGACACTGCAATTTTCTTTTCGGTCTGACCTGTGCATTCCGACTTGTTGACCGGAGCCGGAGTGAATGGGAGGGAGGGATAAGGGAAACAGAGAGATGGAGAGCAGTCAGCCAAGGGCAGCCAAGGGTGTCGTGTCCCAGACACGGGTTCGCCCGCAGGATATTCGAAAGAGGGAGTCTGTCTCCAAGCCACCCCGAAGTCTAAAGCAGCAAGCGGTCTTGGCGGACAGAATGCATCCAAGCTTGCATCGGCCCGCTTCCAGTGGAGGGTTGAGATCTGGAAAAAGGGAGATCCCAAGAAAGCTCACTTGGCAGAAGAAGCAGCAACTTGCCCCTCTAAGACTCTAAGAGCATTCGAGCTCATGTCGGACCCTGACCGTTAGTCGTCTGAGCCTTAGGATTTGGCGTGGAAGTATAATTTCGATTCTAGACTTGGCTACTCTGCACCGTCTATGGCGAGCACCGCGCAGAAGACATGGGAGCTGGAGAACCAGGCGAGCCAAACCACCATCTAAAATCGCTATATTTGCTATAGCAGTCGACCCTGAAGCCACAAAGCACAACGCCAACATAGCCGCTTTGCACGAAGCTTACCTGTTGACGATGCGCAGTTTGAGCAGTGTGTCGAACAGCACTCTTAGCTTGAACCGATTCGCATTCAGCAACAAGTTTGTCACAAGATTCCATACTGCGGAATTGCTCTCTCGGTTGAAATGCAGGACCCTCAAGGCCAACTCGCGAGGCTTAGACATTTGAGAATCTGGTCTCGCTCTTGAATCCCTGACCCTGGGCCCTAGGCCCAGAACAATGATCAGAAAGCTTGTATGGTGGCAGTCGGAGGCAGGCTTTTGGAGGCGCTGTTCCCCAGCTTAACACGGAAAAGTGAGAGCACAAGCACCACAGAAAATGCAAAACCCAACCACAGCCGCGATACAAGTAGCCTTCGGACAGGTGGTGCAGATTGACGACGCAGCACTCTACGCTTTCGACCAGGCGCCTGGCTTTCCTTCGCTCGGAGGCTCCTCTTTCCAAACGACATGCCCAGAACCTGAGCGTAACACCGCCATAAAACATAAAACTATCGTCGAATCAAATCAGGCTGCATCCAGAAAGACAGGACCGCCGGTTGACTCAGGGTCGCAAGGTGAAGACGCTGACAACTAGTAGACAAGCGCACGAGGCAAGTTAGGCGCGTGCGTCTACCCTGATCCTACTCAAACGTCCTGAAGGCACTGCATGCACTCGTGGACGACCCACATCATGTCGTCAACCGCCGACATTTGGGTTAGGCACATTTTCATACTGGCAGCTGTGCGACTCGTCCCACTCATGAACAACGAACAGCGACGGAAGCTTTGTGGAAAAGCAGCACGACATCGAAAAATGTAGAGTCCTCCAGCCGCTTCGCTGCCTGCAAAGTATCTGAAGTTTATGTGTTATTGCTTATTGGTGGTGCTGTATTCGCACGAAGAGGAAAGGCCTGGAAAAATGGGCGCAAGAAAGCAGACTTGCTGAGACGAGCACACGGTTCAGCTGCGCCGCAATGCTGCACGTCCCTGCACTTCCATGATAATTGAGCATCCGCTGTCAGCATTCCGGGCGACGCGGCCACTCAGCCTTGCCATACGGCGATGGTGTTCGGGGGCAGATGCATAGATTTTCTCTACCGGCTTCAAAGTTTCTGGGGCAAGAAGCGTGCACAAGAGGGCGTTTTGCAAAACGTGTGACTGCGGTGAGGAGTTGAATTGTCAATTGGATGAGTACATAACGAACCGTGCCACCCAAGAGGCCAGTTGGCTTTTGAGCAGAGGCTGCACAGAAGGTGCTAAAACTGGTTGGCAACGTTGTTTGCCCTTGTGCTTGAACTTCCCCCTTGTTGTTCTGCAACTGTTCTTCTCTCGTCAACAGTATATAGAGAATTCGTTGAGGTGGCCATGCGGCGGAAGAATGGCTCCCCGCATCCTGGTCCCGTTATGTACAGTGCTGCAAACCTGGTTCCTGCGTGCTACACCCGTGCTGCGTCAGGATTGCCGCAGCAGCGCAAGATCCCATTGTAAATAGCACATGGACCACCATGTTTTGCTTTCGCCCTATAGCGGAGCAATACTTAGGGCAACGAATTCGGGTGATTTCGCCAGCACAAGTCGCGTGGTCCCGAAACTCAGCAGTACTCAGAAAACCTAGAGACAAGCAGTTTCGCGCTCGTCTTGAAGCCAGGCTGAGCAGGATGCCATCTACGAGAAGAAACCCTGGAGGGAAGACGTTCACTTCTTCAAGGCGTCGACATTAGCAAATTCGAGGTCCATCGATCCCAACTGGGCGGACGGTAGCAGCTAAGCCCTCGTCCCGACCCGCCACGGTTGTGCAACGATGAGTCGTTGGTAGTAGACTGATACTTTGTGCTTTTCGGCTCAGGGTTGATGACTTCGCTGGCTTTGGCTTTGGGCTTGTAGATCGATGTATGCCTGAGCTTCAGAACGTCATTGATCGGTGGGGCAGCCTTTGCCAGAATGTGCGCATGTCTGCCATCGCGCTGATCAAGATCATGATGCACACGAAGTCGGCGCCTCACAGTGAAAGAGGGTCGATGCCACAATACTGTCAACCGCGTTATCTCTATCTTGCTTCGTGCTTAAAGCTCACATCTCGGAGAGAGAAGAATCTCGGGAGATGGCGAGAGAACGCACCAGGCCCGTGTGGGAACCTATATAAGCGCACATGTTGGAAAATGACGTGGCAACCTAGACTGACTCCTACTTAAACCTTCTCCTTACGACTTGTCAAAGAACATAATTGGTTATGCCGTTTTATTATGTATTTTGCAAACATATGCACGGTACCGAAAGGTCCACCTTGTGAATCGATTGGTACTACGAATTAAGTTTGTCCAATTTCAGTTGCCGGGATGATATGCTTTCTGAGCTGGAAGGCATCGAGAGCACCTGGGCGAAGATCTAGGATCCAAGGCCCTAGCAGGTTGTCTAGTTGGCTGGTCTTCGAAACCTTGGATAGCCGGTAGTGTCCTGTTCTTTCACTCAGACGGCTTGTGGTTTTGGTGTTTAAGTACAAACCCGACTCCGACTTTTCAGTCCATGTCGCACAAATGCGAGGGAAGCCTGATAACTCAATCTCTAGGCTTCATTCTCGCCTGGTCACTGCCGCCTCGTATATACTCAGGTCTGGGGCACCGTTGGAGGCTTGGCAGGGAGAATGTACATGGCAGCTGTTGGCTTCGGCACTTCATTCTCGTCGTGAAGTAAGGATTGAAGGTCTTGCGTCCGGGGCTTCAGACCGCCAGAACCTTGAGTCTTTCGAAGCCAAGGCATCCGTATCCTTGGGTGCAGTGCACCACAAACTGGGAAAGCAATTTTTTCCTGTGCCAAACCTGGATAGTTCCGACTGCCGTCGCCCAAGGCCTCGCATCGGAAACTCTTCGGCCTACAGCTCGAAAGAAACTCGGGGGATCCCTCGCGATTGCAGGTCATGGGCCTGATGCAGGGCAAGGTGAAGCCGGAGCTTCAGGGCTGGAAGGATTCTGGCAGAAGGGAATTTCTTTCGACCTCTGCGTGAAGATTTCGTTGCAGTGCCACGAGCTCCGTAGTGCGCATGGCTCTCTGAAGCATGCTGAGAGTTGGAACTCCTTCGGACCATGACTTTGTTGTTCGGTTGATATCTTACGGACAACTTTTGATGTCCAAGCGCTTGCTTCCCGGTCCTTGCCATAATACTTGTCTCCTTTCCTCTCTGTTATCTGTTCAAGTCAGAGTCTTTAGAATCGCCTTGGCCGTGTTTCTCGTAGACATTTTTCGGTTTCGATCGACCGCGACCGCTTCAATTGCCGAGGCTTTTCATCCGATTTTCTGACTTTCAGTGTCAAAGCTTCAAGCTGGACACCTGCCAGGTCACACCGGACAGGACCTTCATCATCATGGATGCTTTTCCCTTGCCCGTGGAGGGCACGGAGACGCGGGCCTCGGCCTGAAACACTTATCTCGACGCTGCAGGGCCTGTGTGTAACTTCACGGCATTCCTCTGTCAGCAGATGGTTTTCTGTGATGCTCGGTTGTCAGTCATATCAGGACACCGACCAGGCCGTTGACATGCCTGCGAGCATTGATAGGCATTGCAGGCCTGAGGTTGCAATGTTACATCCCAAACGGATGCTCCCACTGCTACGAGCCGGAATCCCCGAAATCCAATTGCCCCCAAGCCTCTGAATTCAGATTCGGGCCACAAGGTACCGACTTTGGCAAAGCCAAGCCCAAAGTCGTGAGACTGACAAGCAGGAGACCTAGAGATAAATCTTCTTCCCGAGGTGAATGCCGGTGCTGGAGCGAACGAATTCATGGTGACATTTACCGAGCTCCAGCCTCATTTCTGTTGAGAGATTTCGATCTGCATATTGCACCGTCGAGTGCGAAGAAGCCCTTATCTCCCCATCTCCAACCAACGGCACTGGTGGTGCTGCCAGTCTTACGGAGACTCGCGAAACTAAAGTGGCTGTTTGCTGCGAACAATGCGCCACTGACGGCCCTCCTTTTCCTAACTAACTGGATCTGATGTGTAGATTGAAAGGCTAATGAGGAAAGACTATGACTATGACCGTCAACTTTTGTAGTGCAGCTTTTGTCCATCCTGTTCTCCTAGTGTTAGCAAGCCGCCCTGAATCCGTCGAGCAAACACTCAAACCCTCGACCCTCCATCCTCCATGTCTTCAGGACATGCGAAAGGATTGGCAAAGTGGAGAATGCCGGGATCCCGAGAGAATTCGATTTCTTATCTTTGTGTGCACGAGGTGGCTACACCACAACTGAAATCAGATCCCAACTAGGCCCCAGGCCCTAGATCTTGTTTCAACGGAATCCTGACAGTCACTGCTGCCTTGGTTTCACAGCGCAGCCTTCCAAAGCCTTCCCAGCGCCGTGGATTGCTCAGATCTGCGGCTGGTATCACTCGCATCCGGGCTATGGCTGCTGGCTGAGCGGCATTGACGTCCAAACTCAGATGACGCTGGGGCCCTACCGAGAACATTGGCTAGACTCTGGATGTTGGTGAGACATCATCCCTTTCCTTTGGGATGACGCATGGTCATGGCTTGAGTCTCCAGGTGTTTGAAACCTAGTCCAGAGCTTTGCATCTGGTGCTGAAGGCAGCTTGACAAGCTCATTGGCTGGCAGCTGCAGAGGTTAGGTTATGGCGTAGGTCACTCTTGCCCGGTATGCCCATCTCCTTGTTTACGGATCTGTGCCAGCGCCCATCTCTGGCAAAGCTGGCATGCTTTCGCTTCCTCTGAGATCAGAAAGTCTCAGCCCGTAGAGTTTCAACGCAGTTTCTCAACTCGCTAAAGTTTATCAAGAAGGATGCCCCACAGCGACAGACCCAGCGAAAGCACTGTCATCCACGTGTGGGACGAGCTCCGAATCAGATGGTGCGAAACGCCTCAGAAAAGGTATCAGCAGCATCAAGAACCCTTCTTGGCCGTCGTGGTGGATCCTGCTGCAGCCTCAAGCGTCAAAGGCGTGAGTTTTTTTACGGGTGCTTCGCGAGCTCAATCCAGACAGCGCCATGAACAACAAAGAAGACGACGAGAGTGCATGTACGAGGGCTACAATGCCTGTAGCATGATTATGAGTTTAGTTGGGCTTTCGTCTTGGGAAGAGGTATCTGCGCTTGTTCGGGCTGCGACGATGTGACGGTGCCGGTGCCGGTGGTGGTGGTGGTGGTGGTGGTGGTGGTGGTGGTGGTGGTGGTGGTGGTGGTGGTGGTGGTGGTGGTGGTGGTGGTGGTGGTGGTGGTGGTGGTGGTGGTGGTGATAATCATAGTCATGATGACACTGATGATGTCAATAACGAAAATTCCGTGCAGTTGTGTGAACTTAAGAAACTCGACCCATGACTTGACCCTTAAATGCTTTGCTTGCCGACGTTGCTCAATGATGGCGTCCACTTACTTCGTTGTCAGGAAGATACGGAAGGTGCACGAAGCTCTGGATTCCGCCAGGAGCAGGAGCCTCCTTGTTAGTGAGACTCAGTACTCTTCCTGGTTTTTGACTGTCTTAAGCTGCCTTGGAGCCTTGGAGCCTTGGCCCAGGTCCGAACGTGTGCGTCCGGCAAAGTCGACATCGGGGCCTTCCGAACCTACCCTGCCGGCTCGGGGCCTGGAAGACTGCGGGTTCAGGGGACCCCTCTGCGCTTCCCCGTGCGTTGGGATGAGGCTAAGACTTGTGTGAGTGAACAGCAACCTACCATGTTGAGTACTTGTGCTTCGTATGAGTGTTCGGTCAACCTTTTCTACTCGTCCAGCGATACTAATTACTAATGCTGTGACATGCTCAGGCATACCAACACCGTGAGTGGACGCACGTGCGCTCACATGCAAACACACACTACAGGCACATCAGAGAAAGGCTTGAAACCTAGAGGTCCAAGTTGGGGTCGTTGCTGGGAGCTCCCTGGCAACCGCAGGCTCATCAGCCCTCGAACATATTCCTTTAAACCTTCCTGCCGCCGGACACAGGATATTCTCCACCGGATGAGGGGCCTGGGGAGTACCAGCCTGGGACCTACGCTGAATTCCTTGATCTGGCTCCAGGATGCTGGGTATGCAATTTCAGGCCTGGGTTGAGCGAAGAAGTGGAGCCCCAACGAGACACATCATGTCATCTATGATCACGGTAGAGTTGGCAAGTTGCAGCAAGTCGAGCCACAGCAGATCGGAAGATACCATCGCGGTAGATGAGGCCCAGAAGCCTTTCCAAGAAATTTTGCAGGCACCTGCAACGGCTCGGCAACGCTCTTATGACGGGTAGCATCCCAAATGAGATGCAGACCGCTAAGCGCTTCAGCTCCTCGACCTCGAAGCTCTTTCGTGTCTGCAAGGACTTCCTCCGGCAACCCTTTCAGTCTTCCTCGAACTGAATCATGAAGTTAGCGTTGAAGACACGATCTGACCCCTGTCTCTGCCGCGAGGTCCATCCCGCTAGACAAAATCGAGGATTTCGGCGTTCACTGCAAGCAGTGCGCGGTGTTGTGGATGACTTACATCATAGAGTGTTTCTGTTTCGAAGACCAGCCGCAAAACCCCTAAGCCTCAAACCCACCCCGACGTCTCACAGGCACGCACACTTTTCAAATACTCTGGCTCCACCTGCAGGTACTATACTCTTCCCATCGAGATCTTCAAAAACAGCCTGGCCCGAGCCTGACTGCTACAGGGCTTTGAAAGACCTGTGTCCTTTCAGAGGTACAACCTCTTGTGGGGTTTGAGATTCGCGAATTGATCCGAGGGCTTAGATGCTTATACTTGTGAGCATGGCTTGTCGTTACAGCCACCATGTGCCCCCAGATCAAACCTTGCACAGAACATGAATTTTCCACAGTATGTGACTGAGGAAGTGTTGAAAGCTGGAAGTTGGGCAATGGTTAGGATTCTGTGGTTCACGCTCGGGAAACTCACTTGGGGTAAAGACTTCGTCTACGGTTCGCTGTTCGGGTTCTTCTTAATTTGGACAAGCATCCCGGCATTTGCGCTGTGGGACGGTGCCCAATGGCGGATTTTCAACGCTTGCCTCCCATTGTCTGTACTTGTCTCCCTTCCCTTCGGACCGGTGGGGTAGCCGATGCATGGATTTACCATGCTCCCTTCATTTGGTCTGTTGTTTCCTCTTACTTCTTGTCTCCCTTTGTCGGCGAGCCTGTCTCCACATTCAACTTACGGTAGGGGATTCTTGTTGTTCATCCCCCAAACTCTTCATCGAAGAGATTGTTAATCCCCCAAACAGTTTATTCTAGGGGCTCTTATTAATTTGCTGACGTTTCGCACTGCTGGTGGCTTTCCTGAAGTTGGAACTGAACACCCTCAACAAACAACCATTGACATCCTGTAGTGCAAGCGAGGTTCGACAATTGGGACGGTATCACCTGAAAGCTTTTGTCGTGTGGAGAAAGGCAGATCCAAATAAAGCTTGCCTCCGAGACGAAGCGAATGCTTCGTGTCGCTGGAGCTGGTATCTAGAAACATATTTTCCCGCTCATTGTTTAAAGTTGTCAGCAGACTGCTGGTTGCTGAGTTCTAAGAGTCCCTTGCTCGTCATTCCTATTTAGATCGTCGGGTACACATACCTCATGCAAGCAGGACACCAAATCTCTCACTGCACCCCAAGATCTTCAAGTTTCCACCCTGGTTGTCTTTGCGGATTTTCAACCTGAGCCGTGTTCAGCACAGGACAATACCATCTTGGAGCTGTTGTGGAACAAGTACTGGATCGACACGCTGCTCTGCCGGCTCGACTCGCATCAAAGCGAAGGGGAAGCCGCAGATGGGTACGGAGGGCAGCTTGCGGCTTCAATGTCCAGTCGGCTTTTCCGGGCTAGGCAAACTGAAAGATCCAGCAACGTCATCAGTTGAATCCGGATTTCTAGAGATTGAGCCTCGTCTCTTGAAACCTTGAAGCTGAACACGGGAAATCAAGCTTGAAGTGTCGTGGTGCCGTCAACTTGAGAAAGATTTGCAAGCAAGCATAGCACGTTGACGAAAGGTCAAAGCCAGATATCCAATGTCAGGAATTGATCGTGAAGCTCAGCCCAAGCACGCACTGACACGTTCACCGGGAAGCCTCTTGACTGTCTGCCGTAGTTCCGCATTGGAGTTGTTTGTCATCATAAGGCGTCCTGTGGACCACATATCGTCTCCGAAAAGCCATTGCAGAAAGTGCCCAGACAAACCCGGGTGCGATCGTAGGCGTCACTCGCGATTGTCTTGCAACCTTGGAGGATCTATGCTGTCCTGTGCAATGACCACTCTTTCAGGAAGCCTAGTGCAATAGGTCAGGCCTCAACTGCCCACATGTCGGCAACTTCGGGTCGTTTAGAAGCGGAATGGCATGGGCTCGTCGCTCGAATTGCAACACTTTGGTTCAACAGTTTCGCAGGCTGTGTCGGTCCGTTTTAACCTGGCTAGGTTTTGACACTACAGATGTCCGGCATGGCAGGTCGAGTTCGCCCTTGCTCCACAATCGTGGTTTCTGCAATCAGATGGTTCAGGAGCTTCTGCCTCGTCCTTTCGGTGACACCTTGGTGCTCAGAAGTTGTTCCATGAAGTGTTTGCGCATCGTGCATGTTTGTCACTGGTTCCTTTGATCCCATCTCCTGCCAGAGCTTCGGTGTTCAGCCGAGTGGCGAGTTCCATTTGGCATGTTTAGGGCCTAGAGCACCTGCGGAAGCTGCATCAGGGAACAGCGGCGCAAAGCAGCCAATTGTGTGTGGAGAGAGGGATAAGGAAATGGGATGTAGCAGTGATGCAGCCACCAAAACCCCTGGCATATAAAAGGTTCCCAAACAAACGGAACATTGAGGTTCACCTCTCCAGCCAGGCAAACGAGGCAGTGGCATCGGCAAAATCGTTGCAAACAGCCCAGAAGATGGCACGCAAACCAGGAGAACAGCCAGGCCCGAGAACTTCAAGACACATAGCTTCTCTGCATTATTTACCGGTGTCCAATCGGAGTAGCCTCGATCCAGTGGCCATCTGGAGGCTTAGATCCCTACTGGCATCGTAGCAGCACTTAATACACGGCAAGGAGTCCATGATCACCTGAATACGAAGAGATGACATCGCCTATACAAAAGTTCAGACTGAGATCAAATTCCTGGTTGGCACGCTGCAGAGCTCCAATCGGCAGGATGCTCAACCATTCAAAAGTTTGCCCGAAGCCGGATGGCAATCAGTCGGCTTTAAAACAGAACTTTCCACGAGAGCCTGCAGGAGCACATTCCGCAGCACGAACCTGCTCCCGTGTCAACGACAGACCCCTTCATGCTCATGCATCTGTTCTGCTCCGCCCCGCCCTGCACCACCCCCGACCCGCGCCGCCCGACCTATCAAACATCTTCTTGGTGGAAGGATACATCGAAGTGGTGAGGGAGGGATGCAGGGAGAAGTAGGAAGGCAAAAGAGTGCCCCAACACTAGAACCGAAAAAGTTAACAAATCTGCTCGCGACGTATGGACAGGGGGTTACTGCACACGGCGTTGAGAAGTGTAGACTCCAACAGTGCAGACGCAAGGGCCGTGTTCTGGCAACAGAACAGGAAAACAGACACCGCCAGTGAAAGAATGTTGGAGTATCTGTCGGGCAACACCAGTTGAAAAGGTCCTGAAGCCTGAACGGCTGTTCAATTTTCGTTGACAGGATTGTGTCCAAAAAATGGATCAGATCGACATGGCTTCCGTGTCGCAGTCGGAGACTCAGCTGCTTGAAACAGAAAAATCAGGCTTTCGGTTGTGAGATGTTTTATGAGCGGCTATCGCAGAACAGGCAGCTGCTGTTGCCGTTCGCTCAGACTGCTGCAACCTGCCATATGATGTCAGCTCGCAAACATCGAGTTGCAAGGATTGCAAGAGTATAGGGACTTCAGAACTGGAGACGGCTCCAACTTCGATTCGCATGGATGGCTGTCCAAGGTCGCGACTGCGGCTGATGATGTCATTGACTCAACAGCATTGAACTTGCATGGTTCTGAACCTTGTGTCTCATGTTCCGGGTGTGAAAAACAAGTGGCTGGTTTCGCTGAGGATGCATCCATGAATCCGCAAGGTCAGGTCTTGTTTCACCGTTGTGTTTACAACATAATGTTGAAGGGACTCTTCAGATTTGCCTTGAGGGCCGCCAGGCAGATGTTGCAAGGTATCGGCGAATAGGAACCAAGTCCTGTCGGTGTACTTGTTGATTTGCCTCAGCAGCTACTCTGTCGAGGTGTAATGCTTGAAGCTGGCAGGTTGCGACAGGCTGCATGAGAGGTCGTTTGATCCCAGATCGGAATCTGAGTGTTGTTGACTGAGCAGTCTTAACCTAGGGCCAAAAATCTCGAACACCAGCTTTGCACAGAAGCTTCAAGCCGAAGGCATGAGCCCAAGAAGCGGAAGGATGAGAATCCTTTGACAAAGGCCTGGCATTGAAAGCAATTCGGCAGAAGCTTGAGATAGGCTTCGAGGACGCAGGCGATTCTTTTGAGACCAAGAAGGTCAAGACTTTACAAAGGATTCAGTTGGGGGCGTCGACGAAGCCTGCAAAAGCCGGGACCCTTCCTCTGACCGCGAAGACAGCTGTGGCGAGTGCCTGTTGTGAGCACTCAAGAGATGGACCTGGGGCTTGGAGTTTTTTATGCGAGGCTAAGGCTTAGATGCTTGTTGGTTTCGGATTTCGGGAGCTCGTAAAATTCGGAAGGCTTTGCAAAGTTTCAGAGACACCCCCGATGCAGAATCCTGACCTAAACAGACATGCAATAACATGCAGGTGGCGATTGATGCCGCAAAGAATGCTGGCGAGCAGGTGCAAGGTCTGGCAAGTCAGGCAGCCTGACATGTTTCTTAGCAGATCCAGCCTGGTACGCGCATTGCCTTCACGTACATCGCCTGCTTGACTCCATGAGCCGACGATTTTCGAGCTGAGCAAGCTTGAATTCCAGAATTGTCGGTTCGTCGTCTCTACTGCTGACAACCAGAGAGCGCTTGCTAGTCCAAAACCGTATGGCTTAGCGGGGAAGCTTGTCGGATACCATGTTCGCACGTTCAACTTCACAATCCCTTCACTGGTGTGCACGCGCGTGTCAGTACCGTTGCGAAGCTTTGGGCTGAGGGCGCGATACCTGTTGGGATAATGAGATTCGAGCCATGCCGTCAAACCAGGCATCCAAAATCTCGGCATGCACAACAACATTGCAGCGGTGCAATGCGGATTACAGTCAATCTTGCGTTATGATGTTGAAAGGTGAAACAGCCATGTCTCAACTCAAAGTACATGTGCTGGGACTCGGATGTGTCAGGTCGTGAAGTATTCCTTGTTTCACGGCCGCAGCAACGGACGTGCTCCGCCAGATTCTCAAGTCAGGTGGGCTGGGTCGTCGCCGTAGTGCTTGCCAGGAGGTCGGTGTAGTTTAGTCAGCACCCACAACATTTCAGTGCGTTTAACCTGTTTAAAAGTCGAGCTTGCTGCGCTTCTGATTCCACACAAAATATTTCGCCAACACTAGACTCCACTCAAACTGTAAGGCGTGTCATGTCATTGATCAGTTGGCATGGCCCAGGCTACAGCAGGAGCAGCCCACGCCGATGGAAAGCTGAAAACGTTGCTGGCCGCAGCCAAAACGAATACCAGCTCGAACCGCGATAAGTAGGCTATCAACCTTTCTGCGAATCAAACTTCAGATTCTTCAGCTCATTCTTGATGATGACTCTGATTTCTAAATAATTTGCTTTTTCAGATGTCGAAGTGATTTGGATTTATGGGATTCCAACTAGTCGGATATATCATATTTAAAGGAAGAACTTAGTTATAGTCTTGATTTTGCTTAAGAAGGCAATATAGATATGTTAAATAGGCTGGTCTTTTGCTTCGAAAAAATGATTGATATGAATGTTCTTGCTTGGTGTTCTTTTTCGTGGGTTGATTAAAAAAATGAGAAAATTGATCGGTTATATAAGATTACCTTGATAGTACGGATAAAATTGGGTAGATATATCTTTATATAATAATCTTTATATTTCAAGGTTCTTATATCGAAAAAAATGATAGGTTTCTTTGAATAGAAATAAAAAAATAGATACGATTCTTGTCAGATATCATAGATATCATATTAAATTAAATTTGTATTTCGGGAAGGTCCGGATCTATAAATTCATTTAGATATGATAATAAGAATATTTTTCTATAAAGAAATTCGATTTGATTACGTATTCAAATCTTCGTATTATTAGAAAGCTAATTATTTCTATAAGAAAAATTTGATAAGATTATTAATTTTTTATAAAAAACTTAGAAAGACTCTCATTTGAAGCTTGGGGGCGTTACTTAAAAAATTTGAATAAAAATCTAAATACTAATTTTCTACAGTAAAAATATTATCAAAAAATAATAGAATCGAAACAAATATAAAATTTCAAAATTAGAATTTATCAATTCCAAATTTATTTTCTTGATTCCTATTTATTACGTATTCTATTGCTATCATGATTCGGAATTCATATAAAGTTATTTTATTATTCTCATAATTCGAATATATATATATAAATATAAATATATTTTTTATAAGATCCTTTATATCCCCTCAGATTAAATTCGAATATTTTCAAAAGATCATATAAAATCTTTCTAGCTCTAGAAAATATCTAGACCCCACGAACCCTATAAATCTCGTAGATAC